ATCCGCAGCTATGCTAATAGCATGGTAGAATTGAATATGATTTATCGGCTATTTCCGATGATGCTCTGTGACTCTCACAAAACATACATATCATAATGGACATGAATGAGAGATGGACAGCCCATATAATAGTAATTTCTTTATACTTTATTTAAAAGCAAGCTCCATGGGGTGTAACAATAGGAAAGCCATGAGCCGATTAAATAGAGTGTGTCGCAATTACATGGAGTGGATGGAGACTGCATTTCACCGCATCCGCTAATCAATTTACTATTTCATTTGCATTTACCACAAATGCATGATAGCGGGAAAAAAGTGAAGCACGATTTCAGTGTTCAGACTCAAAATGGAATGATGGACTCATAACGTAAAACCGCTAACAATCAATCACTTTACCCACAACCTAGAAATCCGATTCAATTTTGGAATCGAATGAAGATTTATGGTCACCATCGTCGCTGTTAAATGCTGTTGGGAATTGAAAATATTTGGAACTTGTGTGAAAAGCTTTGGGACACACCGCAATAAACATTTGCTCAAGTGGGAAATGATGGAACAGACATTGAGATTAGTCGTTCAATTTTGAGCAAAAAGAGTTTGTGCAACTATCAAGTGAAAAAATGTAGATATTGCATATAAAATAGGCTTATTCTTTGACACTGGAATGAATTTTAAAAAATCCCTCCCCCCAATAAACTCAAATTCATAATTTATATTAATATGTTCTGCATAGTATTACATTTATTTAATTAAATGTAATTTCCAACATAAATCAATTGTGAATCTATGCTGATTGTATAGCGTACACTTCATGCTTCAGCATCAAGATGAATTGAAGAAAACTGGAAGCAAATGACGCATGTAGTTTTTTTTTTGCTTCCCTTCTTCTGTTTGTTCAATACCAGAAGACGCAGAAGACAGGAAAGTATATGAAATGCAATGACAAAGGCAAAAGTGACGAAAAAAGAGTGATTGGAGGAGGTGAATGGGCGAAAGTGGCGGCAAAGAGTGTGGTAAAAGCTTTCCTTGGGCGACAGAACCATCGTGTGTACAGTTGAATAAACATTTCCATTTTCATATTCAAATTTAATGGCAACACAAATCACCGCATCATTTTGTAAAGTGAATCTTTTGTAGGCACTGGGCCCACAATTTACCTCCATTATCGCCTTTTTCGCATCTTTTCAGCTCATATTGTACCCACTGGAGGGTCGTATATTTATCACCCACCCATTGTATTTGCCATGGTTTCAAACACGTTACTTTTCAAACACGTTTCACTATCATCATAATCATACCACGCGGAGAAACATACGCACAAAATGTTTTTCCGCCATATCTTCCATCCATCGTTTAAGAAATTCTCCTTATTGCTCTCAGATTGGAAATTCCCATGTACTTTGTGTTCTTCATTCTCACTTCCGTCCCCCACACTCAAGCGCTCAAGGTGCAAATTGTGGGAGAGAATTGGGATCGTTATAATGTTATTATACAAAAAATATGTCTGGAAAATCTGTTCAAATACTCTAAAGACGTGAACCTGATATGCCTTCCATTCTTGCATGGTGAGTGCCTCTTTGATGGAGCTGCCTCACCTAACCTGGGCCTGAAGGATACTCATTCGCACCGACAGCTCACGGGGAAAAAACTGCCATTTAATTTTTCCTCGAAATTTCCATAAACGAAACAAATATTTATGATTTTATTTATAAATTTCTACATGCCAAGCAAAATTTCACCATCAATTTCCAGCACAAGCAAGACGAAGAAGATTACAAAGGAAAGTGATATAATGGAAATGTAATTGGTTGAGATTTACATTTCACTCTTCATAGCAAATGCAGAGAGGAAATTTAATTATTTATCATGGTTGACATAATAACAAATAATCCGTAACAAATGATCATAAGATTTCCCATTGGCGATAAACACTCCAACACTTTTGATTAATAGGCTCTTGGAGATAAGTTGGTGGAGAGAAAAGTTGTGTATTGCCATAAATTCATCACAAGTTGAATGTCAATGATGTCATGTTGATGGACTTAGGAGAAGGTGATAATCAATCAAAACTTTGCTCCATTTCCCATATTTTAATATCATCCCACAATATCATATAGATTTCCCTACATGACCAGAATACTTTTCCTTCTAAACTACTCACCCATACTTTCGCACTTTGCCGATAGGCAACAATATAGCAGCTCACAGAAGGGTAGCAAAAGTTTTGCAAATCAACACAATCTTCCTTAAATTTTCACTGATTATGATCCTTGTTCGAGATTTGTCTAGATTTTTGCGATTCAATGCAGTGCAGTGCCATGATTACTGACATCCATCTCTAACACCTATTCTGAGAGTTATCATTTCGCCGTAAGCGTTGACTATGATAAAGTACATACATATTTTCCTTGAGTAATTGGCGAAACTCACCAACTGCAATATAAATCATGACTGTGTATCAAGTGCATATTTTCACTAATCGATAACAGCAGACTTACACTGTGAATTTATCACAAAAAAGAGATAATAAAAAAACAATCATTTGATGAATATTACAATCCTAGGATTTAAGTATTACGAAATTGAAGGGAAAAGCATAGAGAATGCAACATAATATTAATTGTTCCATTGCAAAAATGACAATAGAATGAATGGAGAGATTTTCCAGGATTTTCTCTTATTGTTCCAATCGATTTTCCCTTTTGCCTGTCCTTCCAGAAGTACTCTTGTCAGTCGCTCAAGAGCATATTGTTAATCCCAAAGTCAATTTTTCATTCCATTCAATTTTCGTCTGAGGACGCCAGATCACTATCTTCTGTCGTTCGTAGAATCTGTGTTGAAAAATCGTTGTTCTGGCATCCAAGAGAGGCATACATAATGTCGGTGGTGTTCATACAATTTTCACACAAAGAAAATTGAAATATGAAAAGGAATTACATCACAGTTTTTGAACATTTGAAAATGTGCAATCAATTGTACTCTGCAAAATCAATATGCTATTTTGCAACATTTCATGATTTATCAATCAATGGTATTGGATGACTTAAGCTCACAAAGACATTACTGTAAATCCGTCTGATATTAATTAAAAAGTTAACGAGGACAGTCAGCAAACCAATTTCCCATTCCATGGGAAAAATAAATTCTATCTGCGAATTTGCGGAATTGGAAGAACTAGGAATACTTTTCCAGGAAAATTAATTTTATTGCGCACACAAAAGGGAAAAACCTCTCCAAATTCCATTGTCAATTACATTGGTAATAAACACTTAGGCGGTTTCACCAGTTGATATTCGTAGGCTTATGCCTCTGCAAATATCCTGCCAATGTTGCATGCCTCGTATAATCTGTAAATTTAATTTCTCTCCGACTTTTCCTCCTTCTGTGTATTATGGAGCATCTCTCTTGAGTGAAATAGTATAAATCTCCCGTCCTGTACTTCTGAGGACTTCTTACATTATAAAACCATCAGCAATCGGCTTACTGCACTGCAACTAAACTGCATTGAGAGTTGAGTAAGCCTCGGGTTTCAATTTCTGTCGGTAACATCGTACTTTACGTTTGCATGTAATATATAAATAGTATGTATGTATAAGAAAAAGTTCAGGATGGTGAATTTCCCAACAAAAATATAGTATTTACTGTTGAGAAAGAACCTTTGCCCAGGGATACACTTTGGCGGGAAAATAAATGATTTTGTGCGCAAATAAATTATCTAAATCACTCTATGCCATAATCAAAATATTTGTGAACTACAACTTTGTAACAACAGCACAGAAAATAAACCTATTAGTAAAAGCGAGAATATTGTAATTTAAACGAACTAAATAAACTTGAGTTTGCAAGGTTTTAAAGTATCTTCCTTCTCTGATTTGAGTTACGTAAATATAAAATGGTGCCCTAAGAAAAAATAAAGTCTTGAAAATTCTCATAAAATTGTATTTCCTTTAAAAAAAATTAGCGTGCTTTATCATTCCGAATAAAAAGCAGTTGAAACATGCTTTTTAAATTAAATGAACGTATTCTCTCTAAATATTCTGCACATCCAGATTGTGGTTCACAATTTCCCGATAAAATATATTTTATTCGTTTGCATTTTGCGGTCAACTCATTGTAATAATAACCCAATTATGATGTGTGAGCTAATATGCGAAATATGCAGGAAGCAGTGGAATTATTTTCTGTTTAAAAAGCAAATAGTTTTAATAAGTCTTTTAGTCTTTGCAATTTCTCATTTGCTAATCTCATTTTGCTATAATTTGCAAAATTAGCAACACACATATAATAGGAATTGTCTTGATGCTGTGCAGATATCTTTACGGAATGATGTACACATGAAGGTAATGAAATTCTGTGAAAAGAATGCACGGAAAATCACTCACTATGACACTATAGTTTAGAGGACAATGAGTTGGATGCAAATAGACAAGTGAATGTGTTCACTCATGGAATCGCACAAATTGCGGATGTGGAGTTTTCACCACATCTCGTACACATACACCCCATCCACATTGCCATGTGACAATGAGGTGAACGCCTATTGGATGCATGGCAAAACAGTGAGGGGCTCTGTGCTGTCTGTGAATGCGATTTGGCGAACATATACACCTGATTCTCTTAATACGTGGTAAATGCAGGAAAAGCTCTGCAATAAGGCATGCAGGCGTCCGGGAATACACGAAAGTGTCCGTATACAGTCACTTTTCCCCACGAAAGCTATTTGGAACTAACACAGAGTTATAGACGGCACTGAAAGGATAATTAGAACCCGTGTCACAGCGGCGGATATTTTATTTACCAGCCAGCCACTGTTATTGCGACCGGAAAGCCATCGCATTTATAATTTGGTGATTAATCAACATTTGTCAACTGCGACAGGATCAAATAATCATTATTTAAAAGTTGCACAATACCCGCTATAAAAGCTAAAGTTTTGATGGTATACAAAACAGTGAATATGCTCCGTTTAACGCTATATTTTTCCCTTCTCTTCTTTGCAGAGCAAGACACTGGCGGTTGGGGACCCTTCAGCGAGTGGACACCGTGCTCCACAACGTGTGCCGGGGGCACGAGGAATCGTTATCGATTCTGCGATTCACCACCTCCGCGATACGGAGCCAAATTTTGCGAAGTAAGTTGCACCATTTAAAGAAAGATATGAAATATTTCACAAACATTTTTCAATGAATAATTTAGGTGCATGAGGCTAAATTTGACTAACAATTCTACATATTTAGTTTGCTCTTAAGCTTAAGAATTAACAACTCTGAAATTATTTAAATTGTGATATATAGTTGAAATTTTTCTGATTTTCATGAAAATCAAACAGTTTAAAGTGAATGACTTGGCACTTCCATTCTATTATCTGGGATTATGGGTGGATGAATTCGAGAGAAAAAATCATGCCATCCACGCAAAGAGCCATCAAATCCCAATCTTAAATTGGAATTTCCGAGAAACAACACCTCTGTTTGGTTTGTCAAAATTGAGTTTATTTTCCATTCCGCGCTTTTATTCCTCCATCTCAACTTCTCTCATACGTTTGGCAAAGCCATCTCATAAAATATATCACGAATTTAACTTATACTACGTTAAATCATGTATATTTATCGACAATTAGTTCTCGTCGAATGTGGTGACGAGCGATAACCATTAAAGAGCTATTAGATTTGTAATTCAAAATCAATAGTATCAGCATGTGCTACAGTGATTAAACAGTGCTTGCCATCAACTTTTCCTCTCTTGAATTCAGTATTTATGAGTCTGCAAATGATTCTGTGTGGTATTTAGGGGGATTTCGTGCAGTGGCATCCGTGTATGAGTTAGATAGAGCTTGTTTCGCAATCCGTCTTACTTGAGCAGCAATATCTATGGGGTAGACCTTATAAACTCATTTCGCATAATTTTCCTAGCTAGTCCTACAGGGCTTGTGCCACCTCACCTCTTGTGCTGAGCAAAGTGTGCGATGTGTACGATGTGAAGATTTATGGCAATGTACGCATTCAAATTCCGAAAATCATCATTTCACTGAGGAAGAGCTTTTAGGATGCGCGTTTTCGAATACAATGCTCAGTGATGCAATTTCTCCTGGGTGGAAAATTTCTATTAACGTGTATTGTTATGATTAGGGGAGCTCTATAATTATTTATTTGCACGCAAATAAAGTCAACAGACATCGCACAAAATACCAAAAATGGATTTTGTGCGCGTACAGTGAAATACAACGTCGAGAAAATTCCGAATAAAAGCAATTGTAGACCCCTTGGCGATTGCTTTTTGCTATGAAACACATATAAGGTGTATGTATTCCGTGGGAAGATATCTGCTGGGGAACCACGGCTAAATCGGAAAATTAATCAAAATACAGGGAAGTACGGCCAAAATGTATCCCAATGTCGAGCCAAAGTGGAAATGCAAACAGTTGTATGTGTAAAATCTCTATACTGCGTGGCACAAATGCCATTATGCAGAAAATCTGATTTGTATCAGGAGTGTATACAACCAAGTGCGGGTTCGATGGCGAGGTCCTCAAGACGAGAGAGCAGAACCGTGTAGTGTTAAATTTTCGTATTATTTATTGTTGCGAATTGGGAATTTATTTGCCATATTCGCGAGTTGTGTCGATTGAGGAGTGCCGGGAATCAATATCAATATTGCCTGGCAGTTGATGTGGCTGAGGGTAAGTTTACAGTTAGATGCCGCACTCGACTTGGTTTCCATAGTATCTCAAATAAAATTTGTTTTGTCAATAGGGTGGGATTGAGTAAAAAACCACACTTGTGTGCTGTGTAGGTGGGTTCTTGAGCTTCGAATAACAGGCAGTGGTTTTTCCACCGGAGAATTGTGTACAAGCTTTTTCCTGAGAAACCCCCGTGGGTGAGGGATTGTTTAGTTGCAAAAACGACGTGGCTGAAACAACACTTTCTTCCTGGGAGTTAATTGTGCGATATGGCTGGCAAGAAGAAGAAGGAGAAAAAAAAGAAGCCGCCCAAGGAGAAGAAGGAGGGCGACACCCTGCCCAGCCTAGATAAGCAATTCTACGAGCTCACCATTCAGGATCTCAACAACAAATTGGCTCGGTTGAGAACGCACAACGCCAAGGTAGAGGAGCAGATTGAAGACCTTGAGGCAAAAATGAAGCAGTTGCAGGAGGACAAGTCCGACATCACAGCATACCTCAACAGGACATTGCTTGAGAAGGTGGATGTTATCCGGGAGCTGGAAGAGAAGCTGATAGAGTTGAATAATGTGAGAGAAGAGGAGGGCAGAGAGGCTCAGAATAGACTGAAAGAGTGGGATTCGAAGTATAAGGCAATGTATGATCAGCTCACCTCGGAGATTAAGCTGCTGACGGGGAAACTGAACTCACTGGAAGAATTCAGGATACAGAGAGATGAAATTCTGGCAAAGTTTGATGCCCAGGAGGCGCAGCTGCGGGATCAGCAGAGGAGACATGAGGACAAGTTGTACGAAATGGAGAGGAACAACGTGATTGGGAAGGACAGACTGAAGAAGGAGGTGGAAAGTCGACTCCTACAGCTTTCTAATGAGTTCACTAAAAGCACCCATTTAAGAGTGGCCGCTCACACTCAGCGACTTGTCCGGGAGAATATAGCACTGACAAATGAACTGGACAAAATCCTGGTCACACATGAGCGTCTTCAGGAGGAAAAGCGGAAGATGCTGGCCACGCTGACGGAGCTGAAGAGCCAGGCGCGGGTGAATGCCGTGGAGAAGGCGAGACTGGTGAGGAGCACCCAGGAGCAGATTGAGGTCATCGATCGGATGGCGGGACAGTACGAGAATCTGCAGCGGAGCCATGAGGTGTTGATGGGAAAGGCGAGGACACATGACAAAGCAGTTGGACGGGAGAAGGCAATTGAGCGTGAGCTGTCGGAAGCACACAGGAGAATCGAACACCTGGAGCACACTCTGCAGATCATCAATAGCAATCGAGAGGACTTAAGAGCTGCCTCGGTGCGCTTTAAAACTGAGTCCCAACACGTCATGTCCGTGCTGAAAGCCTTGCAATCCAGCGTGAGAAAGGCGTTGCTGGATGGACAGCAGCGGAATATCTTGCATGAGATAATGAACATTCTCACGGGACTCAATGCAATTTCAATCACTGATTCGGCCGAGGCAGTATCTATGGTCAATTCTATTTACAATCACGGAGATTTGGGCTTTCTCTTCAGCACTGATGACACTCCGTGCCGTCAAATAGAGCAAACACGAGTTGACGTGGCGGAGGAAGAACCACAACCCCCAGAACCTGTTCCCACCACAGGTGCTTTTGATGTGAACGTTGACAAAGGTGTATCGAAGCGCTACTCGAGCGGCGCAATTATTGATGTTGGCTCCGCGGCATTTTCAGAGCAATTCTCACGAGACGATGCGGATGACAGTGGCGAGACCAAGGATAGTGAGGATGACACGCCTGCGGATAGACCATCTGACGCTCTGTCGAAATTGTCAGTTGAGCAGGGGGAGTAGGAGGAATCACCAATTTCCGATTCAATTAGAAACACTGACAAATTGCTCATTCCACTATAGACCGGAGAGTGGGATGCATCTGTGGGAAGGCGGAAGTGTTTAAGACTTTTCATCTCAGCTGGAAAAATGCCCACACCATCCAATTAAATTCCTAATTTGCTATATACTTTCTACTCTACTTTCTGTTCAATAAAGAAAACTTTATTATTGCTGCAAAATGTGATTATTTGAGGGTGTCAAAAGTATGCGATGCTTGGAGAATTGGCAGTTTTAGCTTTTAGAGTGATGACTTTTTCACATTTACGCGAGTTGTCTCGACCAGATTTCATATTTTGAGTCTTGTTTTGAGTGATGAAAATTCTGAACGTTACAACCATCACATTAATCATTGTTTATAGATAATCACGTTACATATACTGATAAATAGATCGAGTCAGCTGTTCGTTTAACGAACTGATAATTTAGACTGTCATCAAGAAATAAAAGTAATATTTTATTCATTTCAAAACAAAATATAAATGTCGATAACAGACGCATAAATTCATTGATAAAAGAACATCCATTGAATGCGCGAAATTGATCAACAATTACCTTTTGTACAGCACAATTTATCGAAATTGTAATTCAGTCTCATGAATATTTCCTCGATGTATGGTAAATCAACAGCCTTTGTACAACAGCATTCAATATGAAATGTGCTTTGTGAAAAACAAATCTGCAAATGAATTCTTTATAATTCACTCAATTTCCAACCAAAATTAATATTTCTGTGCTATTCAGCGAACTCTTGATTCATTTATCATTTACGCTTTTAGGATACTGTATTTCATGGAAAACTTTTAGCATATTAACGCAACAATATTCCAATTTCCTCTCCTCTTCTATTGAGTTTCAGTCAATAACCCGCGAGCAAAGAAGGGGACATTTACCATCGCCGCCTATCGGAAGCTGGGTAGAAAGAATGGAGATGAATCCCAGATTAACCCTTTATATTATGGCGACTTTCATTTCCCGCCACTTCAGCTTGCTTTATCATCATTTGTGACAGTGTCGCTAATGGTGAAATTATTCTATGATGTCTGCATAGGTCGCAGCTGTAAATTAAAATATCACAATGCATGGCGAAAATTAATTCCTCTCCAATTTCTTGCTCATCAACAGGGTCCCGCCGTGGAGACCGAGCGCTGTGGTGGTCCAGAATCTGGCACTTGGGAGTGCCTCTATGGCTCGGGCAACTCACTCACTGGCGAGGTGCCAGCCGACAGGCCAGAGGTGATAGCGGAAATTGGGCCAGGTTGTCGCTGTGGATGCATTGTGCATCTGGGAGCTGTGAAGTCTCGCCGTCTTATCGCCTCCTCGTCACGCAGCTGTCCAGGCAGGACGTTCTGGTTGGTACAGGCAGACGACAGGTGTCACATCCGCTTCAAGCTGGACTTCTTCCGCCTGCCGTGCGCCTCGCAGTACCTCAAGATTCGCGATGGCGACTCCCTGGCATCTAACTTGATTGGAGAGTTCATTGGAGGATACACAAGAGTGCCGGATAGCGCCACAACCAGCGGCTCCCAGATGCTCCTCGAGTTCCTCTCCGATGAGCTCGCGTCGATGGGCGAATCCTGCGGGGGCGGCTTCTTGGCTCACGTTCAGCAAATATGTACGTAATGTTGGGCAAAATTCTGTTGATTCTTTCTTGAGGAACACGATTTAATTTACAATTCAGTTGATGTGCACCGAAGCTGCATCTCATGATGCTTTGAATACTTGAGGAAATTTTAAAGTATGACGTTAAAAGGTTGAATTAGACTTTTTCAGAAGTCAAAACAGTTTCTATTGCACAATAAACACAGAAGTAACTTGTATGCGGACAAGCTTGTTGATAAAATATATAAACATACGAATAGCTATGTTATCAATGTGGAAGTAAGTTTCTGCTTTGAAGCGTGCCTCGTACTCTTTAATTCAACATGTTTAAAAAATAAACTTTTATGAGGATATAAAATGAAACTTGAGTTAAGAGGCAAATTAAAGTCTGTAAAGTTAAATTAAATTCTTTGAATGAAATGAGTCAATCAAGTGTTAGCAAAGTTTTTAAAGTCTTCTTAATAACTGATCTCGCTTAAGCAACAGAAAGAACAACTTTTTGAAGCATCATTTTTTCCTTTTTGAATCAATTTAATTATATGTAGATACCTAAACTTTTGTCCTGTATTAAGACGTGCAATATTACTCTAAACTATAGCCAGATGTCTTTGGCGTGTATACACCGCCTTTAACCATCCATTTCAAACGAGACTCTTTGATGAGTCAGGCATTGAATGATGCTTTTGACAAGTTTAATAGAGAATTACATTAATCTTGTTGGCAGAAACTTTGCTACAAAGTATTGGTAATTATTCATCGGGCATAAATTGCACCTGGAGCGAGTGGATGGGGGAGGAAATTAATATATCTCACGGAGCTGTGGAACTGATAATGAAATGTATCTTCCGTAACTTTCTGCTATCGTGACACCTTCCAACTTTTTTTTTCATTCAATTTAAAACCTGTCGGAAGGCGCTTTTATCTTTGATCTGCAGCACCTTCCGGTCTCTTGCAAGGGCGCAAAGAAAGGCGTTGTGCCATAAAAGAATCAACTGTGATTTCTAATTTAAAGTTTCTGAGCATTTGCATCCACTGAACGTGGCTTCTTGTTCAACTAGGTCATCAGAATGCAAGTTTTCCTGTAACTAGCAGAGCCATCATCCCAATTTCCACGATAGAATCAATTGCCATGAAATTAACCATCGCTCATGTGGCTGCCATCGCCTTTGTGAGTGTGATCATCGTTGTGAGTCTTATGCTCGGTGAGTTTCCACTGCTCTTAGTGCCTGGCACCGCCACTGCAATGTGTATATTTTCAGGCACGCAATACATCTTCCGGTATCGCAAGTATCAGCTGGCTGAGAACAAGGGCGAACCTGACTCTCCGGCTCACACGCCTCGGACATCACTGGGTTCGTTAGCGGGCAACGGTCCGCCATCCAGGGCTATTTCTACCACCACCCTCCTGTCGGACGTCATCTCCCTCGTCAAGTTCCGACCGGGAAGTCGACGTCGGATGAAACACTCCAGGTTGCGAGAGAACACGGACACGGACACACTCACCAGGAGCTGCGAGGGAGACGCACACGGGGCCGAAGTTGATGAAGTAGAAGCCGATAAGTCCCACAGGTATGTGAATTCACAGCCCGACACATTTTGCCAAACGCAAGTGTGGTTGACCGGAAGATTCGGGACTTGTTTGTAACACAAGTAGCAAATCCTATTCACAATAACCCCTTCACAATATACAAATGGAAAAAATACACAATTTTAGGGAAGAAAAAATTCTCAGTGTTTCTTGATTTTTTCACTCAGATGATAAATATAGAAAATATATACACTATTGGCAGAAAAGAAACTATTGATTTTGAACACTACGTTTTACATAAGCTTGAACTTTAATTGAAAATTCTCCCGAGGAAAGTTAAAGACTTATGAACTTTAGTGCTAACTTTATACATATTTTTGCCTTGGTTTCTGGATTCTTTCTCTTTTAAGTAATCTTTATACCTGGGTTGAGATTCTCTTACAAATGTTTAGTTCGGTGTTTATGTACATTGTGTATATGTTCTTTTAAATGCACTGTTAAAGCTCTCTTCAATTGAAATTAATTTCACAAAACTTTTCTCAGCATCACAATTAGTTAAATGCTAGACCATTGAGAGTCCCTCTCAGACATTTCAGCATGGTTTAATTGGCAATTGTGTTGAAAATTGTATTCAAATGGGCAGAATCGAACTTTGAGTGGCCAACTTGAAACTTCCTCCGGAGGCAGTAATGCAAGAGTTTCGATGGGCGAGTCTAGCCCGGAAAAATAAATCAGGGAAAATGAACTTTCCGAGCAACCTAGGGACGCTGTGCATTGGGTGGGAGGCAGGCTGAGAGTCAGCAATTCACCCACAATAATCATCCTCGCTGTGAACGTGCTGTAATTTGTGCTTTTTTCCTTGCAGCGATGATGACGGCAGTGTAATGAGTTCTCTCACCATCACCAATGAGAAAATCAATGAGAACAGTGGGAAAACTCCGGGAGAATCCTCCAGCGCTGTGTCGCCCACGTCCCTGGCGAACAACACGCCACCGTCGGATGGCTCAATTAGTAGTCTGCCGCCCACGCCGCTGGACACCCCAATGCCCGGACGACGAGAGCTGGAGACGCCTTCGGAGGTGCTGGAAACGAAAAGTGTCAATGGGAGCAAGTCCGCGAGGGTCCGCCGGGACACGGACACGGAGAGTCTCAAGAGGATGATGATTGGAGTCCAGATGGCACGCAATAAAAAGCTGAGTGTCAGCAATGTCACGCTGACGAATGTAAGTTTCAGTTCAATTTGCATAGAAATGGTCAAGTCATCTTACCCTTGGCGATTGCCTTTGTCCGCCTTGCGAATTAATTTTTTCCGGCATCTTCTCTTTTTCGCTTGCCAATGGTCAACAGGGGAGCTATTCGCCGGCTCTTAGTCTGACCAGCACAGCTACAATTCGCACCACGAGCCAGAAAGAGAGCAAGGATAAGAGGAATCGTCAGAAACTGCTCGCTGGTCCCGGATCGGAATTCTCTCTGGCGAATCCTGAAGATTTGGAACTGGATTACTACGACTACAATGTGATCAACGCAGGAGCGGCACCGGGATCATATCTCGGCATGGATCCTGCCTATCTGGTCTGGATTCCACCACTCGATCAGGGCAACATCATCCGCGAACTGGCAGAGAAAGAGGACGCGGCGGATCGAGAGAGTCCGCAATACGAGGAAATCCTGCCCAGGCACGAGAACATCGACCCAGGCAGTAACACCGAGACGCCAGACGAGGAGATTCCGACTCTACTGAAGAACTCCCTGATGATGAGAAAGTCGCCGGGTGAACCAGGAATGATTCAAATGGAGGACTTCACAAAGATGAGGGCTACGAAGTTGGCGGAGAAACTCATCCCGACACGGGAGAAAGACGAGGAGGAGCAGGAGAAAGAGACTTCGGTGGTGAAATCACCCAGCAATTATTTCGAGATGGATGACATAAAATTTGTAGACGATGATCACGAGGATGACTGCAATAAAAGGACCGAGTATGCAGAAGCGAAAAGCCTGCCAGTTAAAACTTAGGCACTTCTCGCGGAGTGCAAGTGAGTGGTCTTATGAAGAATGAATGGTCTTCAGGTCTTATGAAGAGATTTCGCTAGAGAGTCAAGGGGCTGCAAAATGGATGAATATTTGAGTTTGCAACTCTTCCAGTGTGTTGCATTGTTAGATTTTGGAATATTGAATTGTTAATAACACCCTTGATAACACCATTGAATTTACATGAACTCATTTTAAGTCTGTGTTGTCTCAGAGGATTATGATTGGTAAGATTCGAATAGACACAGAAATCCGACTTTATTTTAGAATTGAAATTGAATAATAAATTTAATTTGCCATAAATCGGGGAATATGCAAAGGAATCAGTGAAAGAAATTGTGGGACTGTGTTAAAAATAAGTATTTAAGTATCAAAATTGGGTTAATTAACATTATTGTTGTATTCAAATGACTTTATAGTTCTTCTCTCAATGTTATCAAAATTCTTGGGTTTCGTAATTACTCCTGAATCGTATTGTTGCTTTGGGAACAGTGGTTGACCCCCTGGTAAATCTCTCTTAATGAGTGAAAATGCTGTGTGAAAGCTGGAAAGTGTGTTTTTCATCATCCAAAGTGAGAAAATCATTAGCAGTCATTAATATTGTGATACGATAAATTGCAAACTCGAAACGAGAGAGTTGGATCCTTGTGCAATATGAATAAATTTTTCCCAACACCCGAAAGGGGAATCCCCATTCTCAGCCGGAGGAATGTGAAAGGAAAGTTTTGGGCGGAAAGTTTATCCCCAGTCTGTCTACATAATAATGTTCTGTGAGTCGAGACTGAAGATGACGTTTGTAAAACTACTCTAGCTCTCCAGATGTGTGTAATAATAAGGAAATTAATTGCTGCAACATACATAATACAATTAAAATATAAAATAATTTCACATCCAACAACTTTGTAGTTTGTTAACAAGAAAGTTAAATCATTTTCGTATAAAGTAGCAAGTAATGCAACGTGTAATTAATCTCCAGTAATTAGCCTATACCCACCACATAAGCTATGTACATGTATTCTGATTGGGTGGAGAGTCCTGCGAGATTGCCTCCAAGAAGAAATTCTCTCGGAAGACTTATGTTAATGTCGTGAAGAAATTGTCAAGGGAAGAAGACGCGAATAGCTTCAAAAATTCTATCAAAGAGCTATTCTGCAGTGAGGAAAGATACCAATAAACATAGCATAAGATAATAAAGAAATATGGAAAAATAAATTTAGGAGTAAAGTATGAAATATAAGAAAGCAAAAATATCTGTAGACAAAACACTAGTCATAATTTATATTTTGTTATGTGTAGCATATGGCATTTCTACAACTATGCCTAGAGAGATGGAATGTAGATGATTGTTATTTTACCACCATTATTATTTATTTGGAATTTACCACTTGAATTTTTAATAAATCTGTACATTGAACAAACGGTCTTTACAGTGTTTAAAATTCTCAGCAGCCCTCTGGCGGAATTTCCATGGTTTATCCTATTTATCCGCACGTGCTTCTGGATAAAATGCTGGCTTGGCGCGCGCATTTGTTGACAGTTCTAGGTATTGCAAGTGCTTTTCTCGCAGGAGAAAATTGTGACTTTGTGACGAAAAACTCACTGATTCAGCATGTCCAAGCGTTCTGGCGACACTCCGAAGAACACCCTGTTTAATTACTTCAACAGAACACCACCAGTATCAGGGGGTTCTGGTAAATTCACGTCGAAAACTCCTTCGCAGAATGACGCTTCGCCATCAACCCCCAAAACCGCTACAAGTGGACTGAAATCAGGTATTTTCTCAATAATGTCCAATGGTGTAAAGATGTGACATTTATGATGTATTTTTCACATTAGGAAAGCGTATTCTAAGCGCGGAAAAATCTTCTCTCACTCCTAAAAACCCGGGGAAAAATGTGGATGATGAAGTTTTGACGCAGAAGAAGAAACGCAGGAGAATAATCACTTCAGATTCTGAGGACTCTGATCAGGAGAATGAGAGCCCCAAGTCGAATCCTGAGAAGAGACTACCAGTCTCACCCCTTGCCACACCGATGGGGGCAAAAAAGGTGAAAAAGGAGATAACAGAGACTCCTAAATTGAGCATTGAAGAGAAACTTGCCAGTCTGACCAAGTCTGAGCCTAATGAAATCCCGGATATGCTTGATTCCACGGCTATTGTCGAAGATCAAGACACAGTGTGGCTACACAACAAACTGGACTTCATCAAGCCAGAGAACATCCGGGATATTAAGAAGAGAAAGCCCGATCATCCGGAATACGATGGGAATACCGTTTTTGTTCCGGATTCTTTTATGAAGACTCTCACTCCGGCCATGTATCAGTGGTGGGGAATGAAGTCTCAGCACTATGACTGCGTTCTTCTCTTCAAGGTGGGAAAATTCTACGAGCTGTACCACATGGACGCTGTTGTGGGCGTCAATGAGATCGGATTGAGCTTCATGAAGGGAGATTTCGCTCACTCTGGCTTCCCGGAACAGGCGTACGACCGCATGGCCACGAGTCTGGTGGAGAAGGGATATAAAGTGGCAAGAGTAGAGCAGACAGAGACTCCAGACATGGTGCAGGAGCGGTGCAAGAAGCAGAAGGGCGTCACGAAATTCGACAAAGTGTCACGAAGAGAGATTTGTCAAATCACAAACCGAGGAACACGAGTCTTTGGTCAGCAAGTGCAGCTCACAGGAGACTTTCAGCCGCAGTACATGCTAGCCATTGTGGAAGTGCCCGGGGGAATCAGCAGCACTTATGGGATTTGCTTTATTGACACCTCCATTGGACTATTTCATATTGGACAGTTTGAAGACGACAAGCACAGTTCCCGAATGCTTACTCTTCTGGCGCACTACACACCGGTATTGGTGCTATTTCAGAAGAATACCCTGAGCGACAGGACGAAGCAGATCTACAAAACAATGCTGGGAAGTGCTCTCAAGGATTCACTGAGCGAAGCACAGATGTGGGATGCCTCCACAACTCTTAAGAATCTCGCTGAACAGTATTTTCACACTGATGAAGGCACGAATTGGCCTGAGATATTCAAGGAAATGCAAGATGATTGTGATCACTTGGGCTTGACTCCAAAGAAGGATTACGCTCTAGCTCTCAAGGCACTGGGAGGGTGTATTTTCTACCTCTCAAGATGTCTTCTGGATCAGCAAATACTCTCTCTAGCCCGATATGAGTTTTATATCCCACCAGATACCACCGAATCTATTGCCAAGCTGGAGAGTGACATCTCCAAGGACTCAAAGAAGCTCAATAGAAGTCAAAATATGGTCTTGGACTCGATTACTTTGCAAAATTTGAGGATAACTGGAGAGGAGGGATCTTTGAAGGACACATTGGATCATTGCTGCACGAAATTCGGCAAGAGACTTCTTCATAATTGGCTGTGTTCTCCCAGTTGTAACATCTCACTTATCCGGAAGCGTCAGGAGGCAGTGACTGAGCTCTTGGACAGGCCGATACTTCTGCAGGATATTCGGATTCTCCTCGGCTCACTGTCAGACTTGGAGAGACAACTGGCTCAAATACATTCCTTCAGCAGCTGTGGTCGCTTCCGAGATCATCCCGACAGCAGAGCGATTCTCTATGAAGAAACTCAGTACAGCAAGAAGAAGATCCAGGACTTCATATTTGTTCTCAATGGCTTCAAAAGTCTGTTGCGACTTCCTGAGATCGCCGCCAAATGTTCTAGCGAGCTGTTGATTAGTCTTACTCAAAATTCTCCGGTTGGAAGCTTCCCAGATTTCTCTGAGATTCTGGATTTCTTCCAAAAGTCTTTTGACCATGAAGTAGCTCTCAAGAGTGGCTTCATTGCTCCGGAAAGAGGTGTGGATGCAGAGTATGATGCTATTGAGAATGAAATTACAGACATTGAGACAGAATTGAAGGAGTACGTGAAGGTGCAGGAGAAGTACTTCAACTGTAAAATAAGTGTAGGCGCCAACAAGAGTCGCTTTCAGCTGGAAATCCCAGAGGCGTATGCTAAAAAGGCGGGCTCGGAGTACAGTCTGGAGGGTCAGCAGGGGAAGAAGAAGAGATATCATACGGATGAGACCAGAGACCTTGTGAAAAGAATCACAGTGGCGGAGGATCAGAAGAAAGTGGTGCTGAAGGACCTCATGAGAAGGATCTTTGAGAAGTTTTCGAATAATCATGATCTGTGGAAGCAGTGTGTGTCGAATGTGGCTATACTGGATGTGCTAACGTCTCTGGCTGAATATGCGAGGAATTCCCGAGAGACTTGTGTTCCGGAGATCATCGAGGGCGAGACTGAGCCTTTGATGGAGATAGAAGATGGGTATCATCCTTGTCTGGCGAGCAACGAGGACTTCATTCCCAATGGAGTCATTTTAGGAGCTCCAAGAACAGCAATGACGATTCTCACGGGGCCCAACATGGGCGGGAAAAGCACTCTCATGCGCCAGGTGGGCCTTTTGGCAGTGATGGCCCAAATAGGCTCTCGTATTCCGGCCACTCGCTGCCGCATGAGTCTGATCGATCGCATTTTCACGCGCCTAGGCGCTCAGGATGACATTCTGGCGGGACATAGCACTTTCCTGGTGGAGCTGAGTGAGACTTCGGCCATTCTTAAGCACGCCACAGTGAACAGTCTGGTTCTCTTGGATGAATTGGGCCGTGGAACCGCGACGTACGATGGCACAGCAATTGCAGCTTCTGTGGTGAACTTTCTGACAGATCTTCGATGCAGAACTCTCTTCTCTACTCATTATCACAGTCTCGTGGACAACTTCCACGGGGACGAGAGGATCACACTTGGCCACATGGCGTGTATGGTGGAGAACGAAGACAGTGATGATCCCACACAGGAAACTGTGACGTTCCTCTACAAGTACGCCGATGGACCTTGTCCCAAATCTTATGGGTTCAATGCTGCAAAACTTGCTGGAATGCCGGTTACTATCATACGACGAGCCCACGAGGTAATTGTAATGACATTGCGAGTTTAATTTGTTCGATTGCAACAGATCACGGTTAACTTATTATTCTTTCTTTTCCCCTTACAGCTCTCCAAGAAAGTCGAATCCAACGCCCTAAAGAGACAGATCTTCTCTCGCATCCTTTCCACTGCCAATGTTGAAGAAATACGGAATCTACTGTCCAAACTCAAGGCTTTTGGTTCCTCAACGCCATAAACAGAAGATTTCTTCTTTATATTTACCATTTTCTAAATGTAAGTTGTATACGATTCGCTTGTCTCTCACAGAAAAGCCACTTTAAGAATATATCTTTTGTATTACAAATTTATTTGCTAATTTGATTATCTCCTATTTACATCATCTACGAGCAACAATATAATTCTTTGGTGTGTGTCAACATTTTACACGCATTCAGCACTGAAATTGCCTAGAAAGTCATTTCATTTTGACTCTTTTTCCACACTAAAAAATATAATTGGGAGATAAATACCTGTAGTTGGAGGTCAAAAATGAGAAGGCTCAAAAAAATTGGGGGCAATATCACAGATACAAATAATTACATGTACATATTTTCCTAGGAAAAAAAAAACGAGATAAAGAAGAATAGAAAAATCACATTGGATTTTGCGCGTGAATCAATTACACTCTTTCAGTATTTTGCAAAGTCAATTGCGCGAATTTTTGCCTCAATTCTTAATACCTAGTAATTTATAATTTTTCTTTAGACAAAAAAAAATTATGAGATATTTGTTTTCTTCAACCATTGATTGCATTTCCACTGATCTTTCGCGTGTGTTTGTGTGTTATTTGACTTTTTTTTTGTACTCGAGGCAATTCTTCCACTAATTCGAATCACAAAAATAAGTAACTTTTGCCAGTGATTTCATGCCAAACTAATGCCTACTGACCGCACTGAGGTCTATCTTTCTGATGGCGCTCAAAGTCTATGTGACTTTCAGTCGAATATGCGCACATATAAGTTGAATGCTTAAGAAGCCAAATACGCTGAGAATTCAAGTCATAATTCCTCACATCGGCAATGATAAGTGTGACTTCAGTGCACTTCAATCGTCGCTCATGATATCGTGACGGCCGATGCGCCAGGAGTTGCTGGTGCAGACGCCCTTTCCGCGCCACCAATCGTTGATGTCTGGATACCATTTGGGCTTCTGCAGCGCCGCCTCGTCGTGGAGCATGGCACAGACGCGACACCAGAAGAACGTATTGATGAACTCCCCTGTGCCCTTCCACTTGAAGTAGGAGTTGTAGAGATCGTCGTTCTTATCCAGTAAATGCAGATAAGCCGCTAATTCTTTGGGTGATGCGAAGTCATCCACATGAATGTAGGATTTGTATGGCGCACTCGACAAGTAGTCCTGCAAATTTGGAGTCAATTTAGGGAGTGAGAGAGTTTCACCCTTTCCGGGTCGTATTTGGGAAATTCCCTCACCTCAGGACGAGCGCCCATAACAATTGGAAGAACATTTCTGTACAAAGCATTAACGAAGAATTTCTCCGTGATGTAATCCTTACAGTTGGAGTTCTCGAATGCCAAATAGAACTTGTACTCATTATCGAGAAGTTCAAAGCAGAGATCCGATGTGCTGCGGGAACACTTGAAGTTGCCGCAAGCACCATAAATGTCCACCTAAGGAGAGTGAGAAAGAGGAAGGATGTGGAGAAAAGTGCTTCCATGCATTCTAGAGTGAATTTCAGAGCTCTCACTTGAATATGCTTCTGCAAGTCATGTGCATACTGAAGGCGCCCATTGCGGGCCCCACAGTTGGACACGAACCAAGCCACTTTTTTCGTCTTGTTCAGCGCATAATTCTTGTCCTGCTCCACTTGTTTCACCCTCGGATCGAAGTATTCCCATTTTTCGTACGGAGCCACAATATCGCTGTCCTTTCTGCAAGGAGAGAAATGAAATTTTATTTAATTTATTGTGGATTCCCATCTGCCTCGTGGGCAAATACTCATTTCTAGACTACAGATTGTGTGCTAATGCTTTTTCACATTGCAATGATGCTTCAGTGCCATTCTCTTGCCAGAAACTGCCCGAAGGACATGGATTAGTTTGAGTGCAGAGAATTCATCTGTTTCTACTGAAAATGAAATTTTAATTGAATTTGCCAACAAAGCAACATGCAAATGACAGTGGAAATTTAATAAAAATAAAAGGATATCATTTATAGCAAAACGAGAGAGAGGACAAATGGGTGTTAATTTGATAAAAACATTTCAAACACTCTTTTCACAATTCCCTGCTTTTGGCTCTGTGCATACAAAGAAACTCTTTTGCTTTAGACTTCCCAAGCTCCCAAGAGGGTTTAACTATCAAGACGCCATCAAAACCGTGAGAGATTTTTACTGCCCACTTTTACAGAAGCCACAGTAGAAGCAACCCAAACTTCCCAACACCAAAGTTCCCAAAACTAATTTCAGTTCCCCAAACTATGGAATTAATGTTATGACATTGTGTATCTTCTTGAAGAATCACATCACTTAATCAACAATTAATGCGCCTCAAGGAATTTGAAATTCACGTCTTACATATTCAAAGGTGTGTTGGCAGAACTCTCGATCCCTCTTAGAACTTTTCCAACTCGACATGCAAATGATAAACTTCCATCTCGTCATTATTGTAATGATTGTAACACACATCAAAGAACATTTGCTGCTCTGTCTCTGCTTCTAAAGCAAAGCGTGAAATTGATTCCTAATTAAATATAGTCTCATATCTCTTTAAATAGTTCCAAAGTGGAACACATTTGCTCTGAATTGAGACAGCATCACGCAATGGGAAATCAGCTGAGTAAATTTGTTGAAAAATTTACGACATGCATTAGTAGACCAGTGTGTCTTTACCTGTACGTGGCCGTCCAATTGAAGACACTGGGGAACTTGATATTCTGCGTGTGGTAGGGACACTCAAGGAAGTACAGCATGTAGATCTGGTGAGGTTTCCTCACCACTCCGGGCGCGATGAAGTGGTCTTTGAAGAGCAGCATGTCTGCTGTGCTGGAGAATTCGCGATTTGATGTCAGAGAGCAAGTGCTGACGGGGCATTTGGCATTGAGAAAGACATCCCTGCCCTGACGTACATTCCACGGGCCCAGGCCGTTGTACAGTAGGATAGTCTTCAGCTTCTCCTGCTGCTGGATCTCTTCATAGTTCGGCGGTACGAACATGAGTTGATTCGTGATCCTGTCGCTGCTGGAGTCCTCATAGGGAAACAGCCTGGCGACTCGCTTCTTCGTCTTGCGATTCATTCTGGCAGGCAGCGGACATCGAACCCCATTGGAGAAGTACCACGGCCGGCCGTTACCCTCCGGCAGGAGGGAGTCCGAGTCCTGCACCCTGTCATAGTCCTCGTACATTGGGTGTGATGTCGTTGTAAGTACGTGCGTGAGCAGAGCGGAATTGTGAGACTCTTCGGAGTTCTGTTGGGTTTTTGTCGACAACAGGGGATGCTGCGTCCTGTTGGTCCAAAGATCCTTCTCCCTAAATGTATGAAACCTCATAAATGCATCTCAACAATGCTTGAAATCTCCTGAAACTCTCACCTGAGTGTGAATCCGAACAGGAGCAACACGGCAAAGGCCACAGTGAAGAGGAAACATTTTTTCAGCGACACTTTTGGGAATCTCATCGTTCTATTCTTGATACCAATCTTCATGTGTATTTACAAACTGAAACTGATAGAGATTATTATTGATAAGATTGCCGCAACATCGCATTGACTGTTATATTTCTGTAACTTTCACTGAATAAATGTTTGTGTTGATTATCTTTATCAGAACTTTAGTGTGTTTCATGCTTTTATGTGCAATAATTTTCCCGAAATATTGCTAAAATCGTTTAATATTGAATAAGATTAGCCAGTTTAACTATACAATGTGTGATGCGTGTGATTATGTATGATATTTATGTTATGGTTCGTTGAGCACGAAAAGTGATGATTTTGGACAAGAGAATATGATTTTAGCGAGCAATTGACCCAATTTTCAATGTAAATTTTTCTCGAGTGCTATGATTTATACACAAACTAGTTTAACCATTTGATAAACTCAGTTTTATCAATGCTTATTGCTTTCTTGTGAATCGTTGATGAAGTCCTTGTTTTCTTGGCGGAAGCTTTGTGCAACTTTTGTAATCTTATTTATTAAATGATTGGTGTTGAAGTGATAACAAGCCACTTCAACCAGAAATAATGTGCTTTATTATTATCAGAAACTTACATATAAGTTTATTGATTTTGATAAAAAATGCCTTTAAATGATATATTTTAGCGCACTGGAAACAATTAACATAATTTAATTTAGAATTCATGTTATTTTTAGATAAAAATCCCTAGAATTCTTGCTTGGCTTGATTACTAACCCAGCCTAGCTTGATCTGTTAATAAACTCCCCTTATCAGCTTAGGAAGTATCTAACAAAGAATTAATTATTGATATATTCTAAATAATCGGGTGTTTATTGGCCTTTTAATTGCTCAATTCCAGTGAAAGAAACATGAAACCGATTGTGGAATTCTTGTGATGTGATAAATTACCCTCGATATTTATGCTTTTTGATATCTGTCTGATAAATTCAAGAGTAATAATCAAGATAATTTTATTACCCTCATTTGTGAGCAGGTTAGATTGAGTTTATTGAATGAAGAGCAGGAGACACACTTTTATTTCCCAATTCAAAAGATAAGTACACTTTTCTTATCGGGAAAAGTGATCTTCAAGCCTCAATTGCGTGCAATTCGACTCCTCCTGAGCTTAGCTCACGCAGTCACTCCGTTATTACTCCTTGAAAGCTCTCCAAGTGTTGTGTGTCCAAATAACTCCCCCGAGACGCAATGTTGTGGCGGGTCGTAACGTTACTTGAGCCCGCGGTCGCGCTGGCCGTATGATTTCATACGATATGCCTATCAATTGTGAGATAATGATAAGGGGGTGAAAGAGGCAGTCAAACATTTCACTTCACTTTGCCCACATTACATAACAATCATGTTTCTCGGTCCGGAACCATCAATTATATTTCGGCAGGCAGAAATAAAAATAAATAAGAGCAATGATGGTAATTATTCAGAGCATTAAATCTGTTCTCCATGCTTTTTTTTCGGGGAAAATGACGTTTTTGGTTTGGGAGTTTCGCCTCCCAACAAGGATATTTTGGTGGTTGTTGTGAGGCGCGACGGGAAAAATCAATAAATTTCTGTTTGGGCGAATAATTCCGGCAGGGTCTTGCGTATGAGGCATGGGGACGATGATGGTATTTTTCATAAGAATCCTTCAAGCAAATTTCTATCTTATTGCTCTCAACGGACCGCACTTTTCAAGGTAAAAACAATCGATACTTGTGAATAGGGACAATGGAGAGCTCTTTAGCCACTCATGTCTCCCATAAAGTGTACTTACGTTTCAAAAGAGGAGCGAATATGATGCAGTTTATCAGCACGAGAACCTTCTACATGAGTCAATTCGTTCTTGTAATCACAATACGCTAAACTATGCGGCGACAGCATTACTCCATGGCAAGTAGAAAAGTCTGTGGAAAGCGGCTGCTGCAGGGTGGAAAAGGCTGTTCCATTGAAGTTGAAGTCTTCACACAAGAACTTGCGAAAACCGATCCGTCCTGACTGTGTCGGATGTTTGGAGAGAACTGAACACACAGTTCACCACCCCTTGAGCGGAAAATCTATAATGTTGATGATTCGTGTGCTGAAGAGGGAGAGAGAGAATTGTTGCGCTCTCCTTTCGGCTGATCCCTCCGAAAAAAAACCACCTTTGTCGAGAGGGGTTGTTCCTTCCCCACTGAACTTCGACTCTCGTCACACGAACTCGTGGCAACTCACAGCTCCCAATTCTAATCTCTACAGCACGCCTTCAATTACACCGCGACACTCCCTCATCTTCTATCGAGAGTTGTCGATAGACTGAATTTTTGTCGCTCTGAGCGATTACCCAAAGCTCATAATTTTTATTATTTCCCCGACAGGTGTTGTAAAATGCTATATCGCACTACCAGAGCCACTCGAGAGAGAGAGAAAGAGAGTGGCACTGTGGAGTGCATACTTCAGAACCCTCTCGAGGTAGAATGTTCTACGAGAGAGCGAGAGAGAGTCGGAAAAGGGGCGGATTTCGCCGCAAATTCACGCATGTGCCAGATGGCTCACCCTCTTATCTCTGAGCCTCAGAGGTTCACTTATTGTCTGGCCACTGACACTATTCGCATCTTATTACCCTAAAACTCATCAGAGATTCATCAATCAGGACGCGAGTAATCCAATTCATCTCTCTCAATCGCTTCAAAGCTTACACTTTGTATTGCATAAATTGGACAATTCGTTTTTCAGCAAAATGTTATCACCGGTTGAATTTAATAAGATAAGTAGACACGTGAAAAAATACCGCTGTTTCGCAGAACACGAAGATTGCTCATTTGGAACAGTATGCTAATAAAACATTTCCTCGTGCATTTCTTATCAGGACAAATTACAATAAATGATTATTCCACATATTTTTTTTTTACTTTCAGAGAATTTAAAATCAGTGGAATTATCTATTCCATAGTTCCTCAAAAGAAATGTTCGTAATTTTCTTACGATAAGTTATAAAATTTAAATAGCCAGAATATTTTTATTCTGTCATTGTTTTCCTACCACTAAAGGCATGACTCAAAGCTGAAAAGTATATATTATCATGCGAATTCAGCTTGCAATTTCAACAATTACAACCATAGCGAACAGTTTTTAGTGATAACGAAATGTTGCAATCAGTATGACAAGGAAATGCAGTTTTGCAAATTTCTCTGGACTGATAAAACCTGTGGTCACAGCGCGCCCTCCAAAAGAACCACGCCTGCGTGTCTTATCGGAAAATGCGAAGGTGAAACAACCGCAATTGGTCACTCTAATAAACACATCTGTAGTAAAATACACTTTATCATACTTTAATTGCACTGAGAGAAATTAAAATACACAAGTAAAACGGAAATTGAAAGAACAGACATACCCAGAATATTGCCAATTGCCAGTTAACCAGAGAGATATAAACACTTAAGTTGCCGCTCTTCCTCAGTGGAATGTCAAGGAGCTGTGATTGAGGTGTCCTACTGATTGAACACCTCGTAGACATTGGCGCCGAGGATCTTGATCTTGTCCGACACGAGGAACAGTATCACGAGGGATGTGGCCAGGCTCTGTGGCTTTGAGCTCTCGCTGAAGTGCTTCGACGCGAGTCCATTGACGATGGGAATCAGCTTGGCCAATGGACTCTCGACGCTGTTGATGTCAAAAATCTTGTTCAGTTGCTCCTTAGATGTGGTAGGGACATCTTGGGGTGAGTGGACGTCAGCCAGGCCATTTCGTTTTCCATTTGGCTCCGTGTAGTATCTCACGAGGAAGTCCACGACAACCGAGAAGCCATGACTCACGTTATTCGTGCACAGCATGCTGACTTCTTCGCTGTCCAGCAGATCCAGGGTCTCCGTGAAGAGACGAATGAGGACATCGTTGCCATTTACGTCCTCGGGAAACACATATCTGGCCAAGTGACTGTTTGGATTGCGTGCGTCATTGTTCACGGCCATCTGAATGGACCAGAAGATTTGTTCCAAATCTCCGATTGTGAGTCGCTTCTTCAGATCGTAGTCTTTCATAATGTGCCTCACTTTGTCCTCGATCAGGCGACTCAGCTCCTTCAGTCCGTCGCGCAGGAAGTGCTGCACCAGTGCCAGATACATCTGTCGCACCTCTGGCGTCACACTCATGCCTGTTGGCGTGGTCTTCGTGGTGTCTCTGTACAGGTAGCCACCGACCAGATTCAGCTGGATCCGCAGAGTGACTACGAGAATGGAGGAGGCATACACCATTGTGGTAAGTCGGGTAAAGGAGACCACCTTCATCTCCTCCCAGAGTTCCTTCTTGTTTTCAGGTTTTTTTCGCAGTTGCTCCAGGATCTCTTCAGTGCTGAGCAGCCGGCTGATCTCCTCGAACACACTCGGCGCCAGGCCCATGATCGTCTGATTGCAGGTCCTCTCCGTGGACTCAAAGTGTTGCAAACGACGCGTCTTCTCCAGGAACTCGCGCGCCTGCTCTTCCTGGAACTCACGCAGTTTCCGCTGAGCATAGCGCAATGCAAGGACACTTCCTCCCACAATCACGCCACCGACGATGAACTTTCGCTTGTGGCGCGATAGAAAATTTCTCACCCCAGCGAACATGATTGATGTCCTGCTCTAAGGGGCTGTTTGCATGCTTTCCCACGTGAAAATCTGCGAGAGAAAAATGTGGAGAAGCAAAACGTCATCGTGGGCAATGCTTACATTCCATAGATAAATACCGCCTCTCCGGGCACACACCGGGGAAGATAATGGCAGGTGATAGTGACATAGAAGTGTTCACCATTGAAACATGAGGTAAAATCGGTAAAGTAATGATAAATCTGTGTGAATTTCAAAGGAGAAATACTCCAAACAAAGTGATTAACTTTATCTGAAAGTTATCAGCCAAGGATCAATTTGTTCGTGAAAAACTCACTTTTCCAGCTCTACTCACCTGAAGTTTCACACCTGTTTAGATGCACACTATTCTACACCGGTGACTCAGCCGAAAATCGATGATATCACTTCATTTGGTGTTGTTTCCTTGCATTAATTATTGAAAATTCTCAATTTTCATTCACAGACCCTTTCTTCTTGCTCTTTCTCCACAATTCGCTTTATCCCAGACTGCAATGCGGAGAAGAAGAAGAATTATCCACGATCCTCAGCGCCGCGCTGCGGAGAAAATCACTTGTCAGAGTGTGAGAAATCAATAGAATTTTTTGGTGGTCGGAAAATTGTGAAAATTGTGTGAAAAATGGCTGATAATGAGCAAAAAGCTCTCCAATTGGTAGCTGAGGCTGAGAAGAAACTCAACTCGTCGAAGGGCTTCCTTGGATCGCTATTTGGGTGAGTTTTCTGTGGCGAACATTGGGTGGCCCCCCTCATCAACAAATGATGCTTTGTTGTAGCTTCTCCAGACATGTTTTTCCCTATTTTCTCAGTATTTTTCCACTCGATGATCAAATTCGGATCATCCAAGTGATTGAATAAACACCCATTCATAGACATATTTCGTCACAATGCAGTGAAAAGTGTTCAACACTGCAGTATAGATGTTCTGTGACTCATCCCAAAAATTTCATCACTCACAAATGTCCGGACAGTAATTGCGATGCATATCTTTGACAGAGGTGGCTCGAGTCGCGTGGAGGATGCAGTTGAGTGCTACCAGAGAGCGGCCAATATGTTTAAGATGGCCAAAAAGTGGTCCCAAGCCGGGAAAGCCTTCTGCGATGCGGCCAACCTGCACGCGAGGGCGGGCTCTCGTCACGACGCGGCGACGAACTACGTAGACGCCTCGAATTGCTACAAGAAGACTGACCCCAATGAGGCCGTCGCCTGCCTTCTCAAGTCCATCGATATCTACACAGACATGGGGCGCTTCACGATGGCAGCAAAGCTACACCAGAGCATTGCGGAGATGTTCGAGAACGAGGCGAATGATTTAGTGAGTAAAGAAGTCATTTCTATAAAGGGGATGCACAAATGGGCGCAAAGCAAGGTCGTTTGGAAAGAAAGTGACCTTACTGCAGATCAATTTAAAGAGAAGGCCTTATATAGTTTTTGGAATGCTAAGCGTTATACAATTCCTCTCGAGTTAATACGAAAATATTTATTCTTATTATAAAAATCCTTAAAATTAAAGTATAATTTACCAGTAAGGAAATCTTCACCTTCCTGCGACTGATGGATAACTCTTTAAATCTGAACTTAAAAAAAATTCTACTTACATAAACATTGGCCATGAAATTAAAGTCCCACGGTTTTTTCCAGCGACTTGTGACCCTCTCATTTAACCTCAGAGTTCAAAGTTGAATCAATACGGCGCGACAGAACTGCACTTGATACAAAAATGCCCAATGATTTTTTGATAATTCTGCCGAGTTTTCCGGTACAATATATGCATCTTTTTTTTTACCTTTTCAACAGCAACGAGCCATTCAGCACTACGAACAGGCGGCTGACTACTTCAAGGGTGAGGAATCTACCACCTCGGCCAATAAGTGTATGCTGAAAGTGGCTCAGTACGCTGCTCAGCTGGAGGATTATGAGAAGGCGATTCAGATCTATGAGCAAGTGGCCAGCTCATGTTTGGACAGCTCGCTGCTGAAGTACAGCGCGAAGGATTACTTCTTCCGTGCGGCTCTGTGTCATCTGAGCGTGGATCTGCTCAATGCGCAGCACGCATTGGAGAAGTACGCACAGCAGTATCCGGCATTCCAGGATTCGCGTGAATATAAGCTAGTTAAGGTGAGATTCATTGAAGCAAATGGAAGAGAGATTTCGCAATCTGAATGCTGTTCCTTTTCTTATCTCACCTTCAAGACGCTGTGTGAGCATCTCGAGGAGCAAAACATTGAGGGATTCACTGAAACGGTTAAGGACTACGATAGCATCTCGCGGCTCGATCAATGGTACACGACAATTCTCTTGAGGATCAAGAAGCAGGCTAACGATAATCCTGACTTGCGATAAATTGCGTGTGATGAAAATCACAACAGGTTCGTATTTATTTGCACAGAGATGAAAAAAATGGGGAAAAAACACAATTAATGAGTGACCGAAATATGATTTTGAGCCACGCATATTGTTTGCAAAAAAAAAGAAACGTTGATACAAGAGAAAAGTGATTGGACTCTGTCGGTCCAGTGCGTTTGCCTCATTTCCACTTTGTTATGAAGTTTTTGTACATTGTTTTGTTGAAGAACTACTTTTCTTTGTTATTCTATTTTATTTGCTCCTCAAGTTCCTGGATGATTTTGTTGAGGTGTTTTTCTGTTGCCACCTTGGTTGTTTTGGATTAATTGGTGACACACTATTGAAAGATATATCATCTTAGATTTGAGATTTCCACCGATGCCACATTGTGCATATAATGAAAAATATTCTCCTTGTATTCCTTCAATTGAAAATATTACACTCCAGACGTTTGTCATCGAGTGATTCAGCGAGAGTGAAAAATAGCGAGGGATTTACCATGAATCACTGCATTAAATCTGTTGAGAAGATCAAAAACAATTCCTTTTTTATCATAATTTATCGTCATTTTTAAATAAATATGGGTTCTATCAGTTACATTCTGTTGCCAGATGCCCGAGAAGTTGATGATCATAACATTGTTGCATGATTGGAAAGTGTTTCACATTTTTAAGAGTGAATGATCTCTGTTTCTGCGATGACAGACATCTTGGAGTAGTGAAATAGATTCGAGAAATATTAGCGGCGGTAAAGAGGAAACAAAACTACGATAACGATATTTGTTATTGAAAAAAAAACAAAAATTCTCAAGTGGATTGATGTAAAAGAATAATGTGCGTTTTTACTAAAGAGAAATTAAAGAAAAAAAAACATTAAATATTCGTCTCTAGTAAAGTTAATATTAAAAGAATAAAACAAAATGTCACTAATAAAGAAAAATATCAGTCAAAGGGCTTAGAAAAAAGACAACAAACTCACCAATTGAGTGGTAAAAAAAAACAATTATAACAAAAATGATATATATTCCATTAAAAATTTAGCATATAAATGATGAGATGCAAGAAAATATGGGGAAAAAACACGAAATTATGAATATCTATCAATTTAAAAGTTCTTTATAATCTTAAACCAAATATCTCACTCCTCAATTAATTAATAGAAGGAAAGTAAACATTAAATATTAGGCGCACTTCACGATATTTTATAAAGATTATAAACTTAGAATCTGTGCATTTTGACAAGAGGATTTAAATTGAAAAGATAGGTTGGAGACATAACAGTGAAATTGACTTAGCTATCATTTTAGATAAACATAATTAGTGAGTTTCGAGGTAAATCTCGTATTTTTCAAATTATCCATCAAATCATATGATTTTATTTTACTTTACATTCAATTGATACTTTTTTTTGTAGAAGTTCAACTTTGCAGTTTGAAAACAACATAATCCGTACGCAATGCAATATTTACATGATTATATGAGATATTTGAAGTATATTGAAAATGAAAAAAAACAAGGAATTCAAAAGAAATTATCAATATAACTCAAATTAACAATTTATGTATAATTATCAAAAAATATCTGTATAAATTTGAATTGTGTCTGATAGATTAAACATGGAAAGAAAAGTGACTATTATTGCTTTATATGTGTTATAAATTGCAATAAAGATACAGAAGAATATAGTGAAATTTTGATTTTCACTCCTTAGCCATTGAGCAAAAGAAAGGTTTGTCGTTTCGACAAATGCCAAGAAGGAGTTTATCAATGGGGAATTGTTTTTTCTTAGACTCTTCAGGATCTGCATTAATTCTAGTATCAGTGGATGAGACAGCATTTCCCGTAACCGATATACATGACAACTTTTACCACACAATCGAGTGGTTTTTTGCAAATCGCGTATTCAAGTCTCTCGATTCTGCGGATTCTGCGCTATTGTCCCACCGTCGCGGTTGGCGAGAGGCGATGAGAGCGAGAGAGCCGCCAGCGGCTGCCGTCTACCTGGTGGCTCGCAGTAGTAAAATGTGAATTGAGAGGGCAGGTGAAGTCCGCAATGAGCAATGGCTCAAGTGTGATTGAGAACATGGTTGGAAAGAGAAAAACTGGATTTACAGGCTTTTCATCGCCGACCAGAGGAAGTTGTCACGCGCCAAAAGCGCGCTCGTAGCTTCTGCTCTCGCGAGAGACTCTGTGGCCAGAGCATCGGAGCTCCGCTCGTCAGTTGAGCTGTGTTGTTCACTCTGGTAAGATATTTTTGGATCAGAGTGCAGGCGAGAGTTGTTCACACTTGTGTGGCTCTGATTAGTGGTGGCGAGCAGCTTCTGTGGGGAATATTCCGAGACCCTGTGTGGATTGGAAATGAATTCGCACTGGTGATTAGCAGTGAACGGTGATCCTAGTGCCAGTGTGTGAGGAAAGGAGGTCGGGTGGAAAAGTGATCTACGCACAAGACCAAGTGATTTTTCCTGTGAATTCATCTCAGCATTGGAGGCAGAGCTGTTGAGTGTGTGTGAAACAATGGATAAATTCCTAAGTGAGTTCCAATCATGCCTTGGTTTTCCCCTTCTACCTACGATCGGAGCCCAGTAAGCAATTCAGAAATCGTCTCATGAGCTCGGAAATTCCTCGAGACACTATACTGGATACTGCCTCGGCGTTATCTTGTGCTGAATTTAAATAAAAATTCACTTATTTGCTTATTGACTGCACACAAACACAAGTTGACCTTGTCGCTGACCGCTTCCATGCCATCTCTACGGCCCCGACAACTTGTTAAGGAACAGAGAAAAAATACACATTAATATTGTGAAAATCTCTCCGCCTCCCACCTAAGCGTTCAATTGTGTATTTTGGAAAATCCACACATCATTTCCCCGCGCGTGACCCAAAAAACGGCAAATTCTGGCCGTGGAAGCCGTGGCGCGATAGTGAAAATTGGGCTGACTTTTATGCCTGTCGCTCTTTAAAAAAAAGAGACTGTGGTTGGCAAAATAAAACATGACCTTTCGATGTCTCTTCGCACTGATTAACAAGATACGCGACTCTGGGGACTTCTTCTTTTTCCACTTTAATGGAATTTCCATGCGCAATAGTTCACCAATAATCCTTGATGGCCATTACATTGCGGCTTTACTGGGATTCGGCGTCATCAATTTATGTTTATTCTAGTCTTTCGGGTTATAACGTGAGATCAATACACTTGATGTACTTCCCCAAGTGATGATCACATAAAAATAGACACTCTTGAATCATCCATTTGCCGTGCTCAAATGGAAAACTTCAGAAAGTGATGTTTAATCACAATTCCAGCCTCAAATGGCGCCTGGCTGTTAACGCATTTGCAATATAAGCACATAGAACACGCGCAATATGTCGATGAGACACTTTTCAATGGGAAAAGTTCTTATCAATGACGCACCCTTTGCTCTGATTCTGGGAATCCCCTAAAAAATGCGCCATGCTTAAGCATTTTGCCCAAAGCTCGCCGCTCTTTAATGTGCGCCAATATAAGAAAGGCGAGTTTCTGGGATCTCTAAAAAAAACCACTCATCATAACTGTTCTCTGGCCTGGGTCTGGGTATAGGTGAATGCCTGACTAGAGTAGAATTAAATTCAAGACTTCTGAGAAAGCCTGTTGACTTATGAGGAAATCATCTTGCAGCTCTCAGCTTTTTTCTGGTCACTTTCGCGGGATTGGCCAGGCCGCAGGCGACACAGGGTATTCAAGTCCAGCAAGTGTCGGGCATCGAGATTCCCTCCAGTCAGCAGCAGAACTTTCAGCAGCAAACTTTTCAGCAACAGCAGGATGAGATTAGGGAGATTCTCCAGCAGCAGCAGCAGATAGCGCAACAGAAGCAGCAGAGCCAGATTCTGCAGAATCAACTCCAGCAGCAGCACATTCAGGTGAAGTATTGAGAACCTCTGCTGGCTTTTTGGTCAACTCATGTGTGCGTAGCGATAATTCAGAACGTGATGCTGAGTATTTATCGCTCTCTGGCGTAATAGCTCGGGAAATCCACAGTTTCGTCTTGTCTTTTGCCAAGACGTTTCAATCTGGAATGTCCGTTTTTTGCGTACTGAGAATTTCTCTACACAGAAACCGCAAAGACACTTTTTTATATCTCATTTTGTTTAATGTGTGTTCCAAAGGTGTGCCGGTAGCATTGATCTATTCGAGGAAAGCCGATGCTTTAACGATGTTTCTTTTTGCAATTATTACAGCAAGTTAACTCAAGACTGCCCTCGCTGCAGGAGATTCAACACGATGCTCCACAGACGAATCTGCTGCCAAATTCTTCGGGATTGGAGAAGGAAGTCCTGCGAGTGATCTCGCAAGGATCAGAGAATTTCGCACTGCAACTCTTCAAGGTACTGTCCATAATCGATTAATGAATTTTCCTATATCTTCTATACATAAATCTGAAATATCCTTTTGCAGGGAGTGCTGCAGGAGAATACAGCTCAAAATTACAACTTCATCATGTCGCCCTTCTCTGTGTGGTCTCTGATTGTGCTGTTGGTTGAGGGTTCGGCTGGAAGGACACTGAGCGAGATTGAGACGGTCCTGGGGCTTCCTCGGAACATCGCTTACGTGCGGGATGGCTACAGACAAATCCGAAATGCCTTGAAGTGAGAAAATACTGCATTTATCTAGATAAATCATAACCGATAACTTTTGCTGCAGTGTCAACACGAGTACAACGGAAATCTCCACGATTCATGTGATGTTCTCGGACAAGAATCGTCCAGTTTACCCGGACTTTGAAAGGACTGTTCTAAATTTCTACATGACTGATGTGTCTCCCGTGGATTACCTGAATCCACCGGAAACTGCACAGAAAATCAACGGTTACGTGGCAAGAGCCACCCAAGGACGCATTAATCAGATACTCAAGAGAGGTGATCTCATGGATGCTAACATGATCCTCATCTCGGCGATCTTCTTCAGGGGACAGTGGAAGGTATGACAGATGGGAAGGCAAATAATTTGCATTAGTTTGTGATAGATTAAGCGAAAATTCGTTCTTACAGACTCCCTTCAATGTCTCCCAAACTACCGAAGAGTCCTTCTACGATGAATTCGGAAAGGCTCAGGGGAAAGTGAATATGATGTTCCAGCGAGGAAGCTTCCCCTACACGGCTATCGCTGAACTGGACGCTCATATTCTGGAGCTGCCGTATGGCAATCTCAATAGACTCAGCATGATCATTCTTCTGCCACGAAAGGGTACTCCTCTGAACCAAGTGGTGGAAAAGTTGGCCAATGTTCGACTCCAGCGAGTCTACGACGAACTGAAGAAGGCTGCTGATGAGTACGAAGACGACGAAGTTGAGGTTTATCTGCCTAGATTTAAGATCACCGCCGATTTCGTCCTAAACGGAGTTCTTGAGAAGGTAAATAACTTACATAACATCTTCTGTCACTGACAAATTTAACGACTAATTATTAATTTTGCAGATGGGCTTACTAGACCTCTTCAGTCCGACAAATGCAAACCTCTCGAAGATCACCAACAGCCAAATATACCTCTCGCGACTCATTCACAAAGCGACAATAGAGGTGAACGAGGAAGGAACTGTAGCATCAGCCGTCACAGGTATTTCTAGCTCAAGCCAACAACATTTCCAAGAATCCATTAACATGTAAATTTCGCACAATAGCTGGCGTTTTCGCCAACAAAGCCACGCCGCCACGCTTCTATGCAAATCGACCGTTTGCATATCTCATCGTGGACAAAACGACAAATGTTCTACTGTTTTGCGGGCAAGTCAAGAATCCCAACACTTTCTACTTCTAAATGATGTACATTTAACAAGTGATAAAATGTATTTTTCACATTAAAATTTGTATTGAAATTTTTTTAACACAAACTTTTGTGACTCATTAACTTGCTTTCAGTGCGAAATTACAGATTTTGGTGTGACAAAAATATACCTCTCGTGATATTTACAAGTAAGTGTGAACAATAAATTTGCTTTTTATTGGAATGTGTTGAAAAGAACAGACAAAAAATGCTTAAAAGTTCTATTGTGATTGCAAAAAATTACTGAACTTCCGGAAAATCTTGTATCTGGTGTTGTGGAAGCCGTTGAAATTCAAATGCTTGTATTTGAGGAAATCCTCGATCACCAAATCGATCTCAGCAGCACCGTGAAGATTAATTGAGGTTTTTGTATCTCAGATGAGAGAATCATTTAGTCTAGAATTAGGAACAGTTCTGTTTAGATCATAAATGAAATCCAAATTCATGAAATCTAATATGACGGAATTGTCCATATTGTTCGTAGATCGTTCCTCAGACATTCTGAACTAACTCGGCATACTTTTATCGGGTTTCTGGATAAAGTGCTGTCAAAGTCACAAGTTTGATTTGTTATTGTTTGCGTTTGTTTTCGCAAAAAGTGGAAATCTTGTATTTCTTGTGCATTGTTATCAATTTTTGATATGACGACAAATAGGAATGCGGACGTGCAAAATCCCCTGTATGGCCAGCTGGTCGTGGGTCCTCCGGGATCAGGGAAGACGACGTACTGCGAGCGGATGCTGAAGTTCCTCCAGCAGCTGGGCAGGAGGGCTGAAGTGGTGAATCTGGACCCAGCCAACGACAGCATGGACTACCAGGCGAGCATTGACATCATGAAGCTGATCACAGTGGAGGATGCCATGGATCACCTGGAGCTGGGCCCCAACGGTGCCCTGATTTACAGCATGGAATACCTGGAGACGAACTTTGACTGGCTAGTGAAGCAGATCCGCGCCTCGAAGAGCAACTACTTCATCTTCGATTGTCCTGGACAGGTGGAGCTGTACACCCATCACGATTCCATGACGCGAATGTTCGCGAAGCTGGAACAGATGGGCTACCATCTGTGCGTGGTTCATCTCGTGGATTCTCACTACTGCTCCGAGCCCAGTAAGTTCATCTCAACGCTCTTCCTCTCGCTCAACACGATGCTCCAAATGGCGCTGCCGCAAGTGAATGTGCTCAGCAAGGCTGACCTGCTGAGACAATTCGAGTCAAAGTTAGCCTTCGGGATGGATTTTTACACGGAAGTCCTGAATCTCGAGTACCTGTTGGAGGCTCTGGATGAAACGCCTGGCATGGGGAAGTATGGGAAGCTGAATGCGGCTATCGTGTCCCTCATTGAGTCTTACAGCCTCGTGTCCTTTCACCTGCTGGACGCCAACAAGACTGAGAGTCTCCTGCGACTCAAGAACGCCATCGACAAGGCCAACGGATATGTCTACGCTGCCGGAGAGGAGGTGAGCATCAATTCCCTCCTGGCCTGTGCTGTGGGAGCGGAAACAGAGAACGAAAGGATAGAGAAAGGAATAGAACCATATTTGCCCTCATAATAAATCTCTGTGAATTTTTTAAGATAATAATGTTTGTTTAGAATTGGCGCTTTTTGGATACATTTGAATTTGACTGTCGGCGATTTCGTGAATAAAAATTAGGTTTGTGTCTCGGTTAAGCAAAACATTTATTTTGGACAAAATGGAAACGAATGATAGGAAAATTTCTGGTCTCGAAGACTTTTTAATAGTTTTCTGAATCGGTATCCCTTCGTATCCACCATGTGATTTTCTGTGAATATTTTTGTGGTTTTGAACATATCAATTAGTTTAAACTCAGCCCACTCAGCCTTAGCAGTTTTTGGCCTCGGTATGGGTTTTATTATCTATTTATTATCAATTTCATAAGGCGATCAACGCGATGAAACAACATCAAATGCATTAAATGAGGAAATTTCAAGAAAAATGACTTGCATCCTTGCATGGAAATTACACAGATTTTTACAGTGGTGGGAAAAACAATAGAACAAATACAAAATTTAAACAGTTTTTTTTTTAAGTTTCTGATTTGTAAATAAGAAATTCTTTCACTTTAAGTGTGATCGGTGTGTTATAATGAAAAATCATTAGAGTAATAAGAATTTTTGTTCACAAAATTTTTCCAAGTTCGCCTCCAGTGTGTTAGACATTGTATGTAATTGCGTGCATCTTAATCTAGTGCTTAATCATATACCTAATATAATGTAATAATTACACATTTGCATGCTTGAGAGACATTTAAAAGGCCTCTGGAGTGCTTTCAAGTCATTTGAATGATTTCAAGTGAGTGAAAATGTTTTCCAAAGTGCTTCTTATGGTTTTAGTCTCTTCCTTGACTGTTTGCATTCCTTGTGGTGCAAAACTAGAGATTCCTGAGGAACTGAGAGAAGGTGCACGGCTTCTGCATGAACACTGCGTGGCTCAGACGAACGTGGACGAATCTCTGATTTTAGCCAGTGTTAACGGATATCTTCCGGATGATCGCACTCTCCAGTGCTATATCGACTGTCTCTTCCGGACGACGGGATTGATTGACGAGGGTGGCCATATAATGTTAGAGGAAGTTGCTCATCTCCTTCCGACAGAGGGAAAGGAAATCATTCAAGCTGTAACAGCGAAATGCAGGACGATTCGTGTGTTTAAGCTTTTAGAATGAATTTTTCTACAAGCCATTCTAAAATTTGTTGTTTTCTTTTCAGATGGCAAAGATGAATGTGAAACGGCTTATTTAACTGTAAAATGCTATTTTGAAGCTGATCCTACACATTCCATGCTAATTTGAGGAGTTCCAAAGTAAGGTCAATGTTCCTGAATAGTCAAAGTTAGTTCAAATCCCTGTAAAAGAACGAATAGCAGAATAAAATTGAAATGTTTCAAATTCTTTTAGTTAATTAAATTTGTAATTATTCGTCTTTCTGTGGTTTTCTGTGAGGTCTTTAATATTGCACCAAGAGTACAAAAGAGCGTCTGATAAAATTATACAGCAATCAAATAAGACAATTTAGAATTCGCGCCTTTTCGCGCCAGTGGTCAATTGACTGTCGGCGGGTTGGCCTTTCCTGGCTGTCAGCAGTCGAGCTTAGTTGGTCGGTGAGAAGCGACGAGTGTGCTGAAAAAGATATCAAAATAACTCCATAAATAGGCCACAAAATTGTCGAGAAACCATACAGGGAGTTACGAGAGTGTGTGAATTCGTCGCGAGAGAATGTCTTACTCCAGCAGTGAGTGTCCTTCTGTGTGAAAATTGGGGTGAAAAGGTGGACGCCGGCCAGCAAGTCAGAGAGCGCATTTCCTCCGGAATTTACCGCTATTTGGGTCTCTGCGGCCCCTTTTTCACGCTCTCGCGCCCAATTGAGCGTGAAAACGGGGCCAGGCGAGCCGAATTGGCGCGCCGTTGAGCCATTTGTGGGGCGATCTGGCCCCAAGACTGACAACACCCCATATATGGGCATAATCTTGTCTGACGGTGATTCATGGCCTTTCGGTCGGTCGGGTCGTCACCTCGCTCGACGCTCCCCTACGCTTGAGGGACTCTGACTTGCGGCCGGCTGTGGACTTCTGGTCAGTAATCTGTCTCTCTCTTCCGCCGGCAGAGTTCATCTATGCCACACTGCCCAGGACCCAGAGAGGTCAGCCCATCGTCCTGGGCGGCGATCCGAAGGGGAAGAACTTCCTCTACACGAACGGCAACTCGGTGATCATCAGGAACATCGAGGTGAGCGCAGAGTGTGTTATTTTGGAGCGGCCGGCTTGTCCGGGATTCTCCGACTGAGGATTGCGAGATCGCGATATAAATATACGCCAACGCGTGCTCTTTAATTATAGAATCCTGCCATCGCCGACATCTATACGGAACACTCATGTGCTGTGAATGTGGCGAAATACTCGCCAAGCGGCTTCTACATCGCCTCGGGAGGTGAGTTTCTGCCCAAGAAATCTCCGCAATTCTCAGGATTCTACCATTTAAAAGCTTTTGTGGCTCTCATTTCGCTCGCTGGCACTGAAATTCAGGGTGGAATAACATTTCACGTTCCAGATAAAATTGCCATTTGCAATCTTATCTACAATTTAATTTTTTTTTTTTGGCCATTCAATGTGTGGATTTGATATTTTATCGAGCAAGAATGTGACGATGTCTTCGTCACACAGGTTATATGAATTTATTATCCTCAAACCCTGCCTATTTGATTCCTATATGAACTAGAGGTGAATTTGGACAATGAGACGACTAAGTTCTGCTCTGCTTTTGCAGATCAATCTGGGAAGATTCGCATCTGGGACACGGTAAACAAGGAACATATCCTGAAGAATGAGTTTCAACCGATCGGCGGGCCGATCAAGGACATCTCCTGGTCACCGGACAACCAGCGCATCGTGATTGTGGGTGAGGGTCGCGAGAGATTCGGACATGTGTTCATGGCTGAGACGGGAACGTCCGTTGGTGAGATCAGTGGCCAGTCGAAGCCGATCAACTCTTGTGACTTCCGTCCGAGTCGCCCATTCAGGATTGTCACGGGCAGTGAGGACAACACGATTGCCGTGTTCGAGGGACCTCCGTTCAAGTTCAAGATGACCAAGCAGGAGCACACGAGATTCGTTCAGGCCGTCCGCTACTCGCCGAGTGGCAGTCACTTCGCTTCCGCGGGCTTCGACGGCAAGGTGTTCCTGTATGATGGGCAGTCGTCGGACTTTGTGGCTGAGTTCGGGAGTCCAGCGCACAAGGGTGGCGTCTATGCTGTAGCGTGGAAAGGTGACGGAAGTCAATTGCTGACGTGTTCGGGAGATAAAACATGTCGTCTGTGGGACGTGTCCACGCAACAATTAATCTCTGAATTCCCGATGGGAACAACTGTGGACGATCAGCAGGTGTCGTGCCTCTGGCAGGGAGATCACCTCCTGACCGTGTCTCTGTCGGGTTTCATCAACTACTTGGACGTGAACAATCCCACGAAACCGCTGAGAGTGGTGAAGGGTCACAACAAACCAATCACTGTCTTGACGCTGAGTGAGGATCGCAGCACGATTTACACGGGCAGTCATGATGGTGCGATTACCAATTGGAATTCTGGGAACGGCGTGAATGATCGCGTTGGCGGAATGGGGCATGGAAATCAAGTGAATGGTATCAAACCATTGGGAGAAGATGTCTACTCTTGTGGTATTGACGACACTCTCAGGCAGATTAATGTAGAGGGAAACACTTACACGGATGTCGCGGTGAAGCTCAACTGCCAGCCGAGGGGCTTGGATGTGCTCAAGGAGCAGAACATGGTGATTGTGCCCTGTGTCAAGGAAATCACTGTCGTTCAGGTAGCTTTGTAACGATGCTTGTTTGATGTATCTTTAAGACTGATTGTGGCTTTTCCTCCAGGACAACCGCAAAGTCTCTACTCTTCCCATCAAGTATGAGTCCAGCTCTCTGGCCGTCAATCCGGAAACCCTTGAAGTGGCCGTCGGTGGGGATGACAGCAAGGTTCACGTGTACTCACTGGCCGGCACCAATTTGGAGCACAAGCTCGACTTGGATCATCTCGGTCCAGTGACTGATTGCGTGTACTCGCCGGATCACAAGTACTTGGTGGCCTGCGATGCCAACCGGAAGGTCATTCTCTATGGTTTGCCAGAATACAAAGTGAGTATATTTCATCTATTATTACCACTGCATGTTGTCTTCACTGGGTGATTCTATGATATACTCTCTCGCACCTATGAGATTTATGTGTGGCAGATATGTTTTGAAAAATATGCTTTTTGACCCAAATTTATGTCGCTTCAAATGTTCAGGGCAATTAATTTTCATTTATGTTAATGCTTACACGTATGTATATATAATTGTTTTACACTTTATTACTATACCTATATCATTTCTATTTTTAATGCCATGTCTTGTCTTGCATTTTTTATTATGGCTTTTTAAATGGCTCTGAAAATCTGTGTATGATTTCACAGAATTGATAGCGTACGAGTGAAATGCATTACTATCTCGCTTATCTTATTCCACGTCTAATTATTTTGTGGTGTCTGTGCTTTTTTCATGCTAACACTCACCGGTTAATGGTTTTATTTTGATAAAGATTGTAAGTATACCTGTAGTTTTATTAGGTGTTAAAGACTGTTAGGAAAATTTTATACTTGATGATTTTATCTCTATTTTAGCCACCACATAACAAGGAATGGGGCTTCCACAATGCTCGTGTCAATTGCGTGTCTTGGTCACCGAATTCTCTCCTTGTGGCCAGTGGTTCTCTCGATACCACAATCATCATTTGGTCTGTCACCAATCCGGCCAAACACACCATTATCAAGAGTATGATGGGACACTTTATTTAAATGTTTTAAGCATGGCTCAAGGCTCTTCTCTTTTCAGACGCCCATCCGCAGTCACAAATCACTCGCCTCGTGTGGCTAGATAATGAAACTGTGATCTCAACTGGTCAGGATTGCAATACAAAAGTGTGGCATGTGGACGCTATCTAGACTGGAAGAGCATCATATCTCTGCGTTGGAGAAAAACTGAGAGAGATGAGCAAATAAACGACATAGAAATTTCTAAAGAAATGCATGAAAAATACCAAGTTAACGATGGTAAAATTCTACAATGAGCTACAATAATAATTATCTTTTTCACTGTATGAGATCAACACCAAAGTTAGTTTTTCCGTAGTTGCCTAAAACCAGAGTGTGTCGCATTTTTTTTCATAATCGTACCGTCAATGCTAATGATGAAACATAAGTAATATCACAACTTATTAACTTGATATTTTTGATAATGAATAATGGAGGTATTAGTGTAATAATGCAGAGCATTTTTTGTATGAGAGAATAATGAATAACAACTTTTCTATATATATATACCATATTTATGAGAGAGAGAGAGAGAAAGAAAAGATAAAATTTGAATAATTTGCTGAAAATCTTCATGTATTGAGTATTAAGAGCTTTTTTCTCTAGGAGTTCACAAAGTAAAAGAAAATAGAGGTAAATTTTTGCGGTATTGTTTTCTTCTTTTTGTTCAGTTTACAGAATAACACAAGAAAGGATAAATTTATGATTTAACACTGAAGAAAAGGTATAAAAATTAATATTGTTGTGTGATTGTATACATGAAAAAATATTTATTTTAAAATACAATAAAAATATTCAAACAAACTTGAATGGTTTTGCCTTTATTTTTGAAGTAAAATCATAAATCAAAATACAACAATCCTATCATAGACTATATAATATTTAACAATAACATGAATTATATACAACATATTTATAATTTAATATTTTTTAAACCTTGATTTATTTTGTTTGTTCTTTTTAGCTACTTAGTTATATATAGTGAAGTTAATATTGTCTTTTATGATCATTGTTTCGAGTTTGTTGTGTGCATTTATGTTTGTACACGCATTTGCAATAAATAATTAGAGAAATATTTGTAGGAGGATGAAGAAAAAAAATTAGACTAGGTAAAAATTTATGACTAGAAATTGATTTTATTAAGTTTTTTTTCATTTTGTCTAGAAAACATATTGCAATTTCCTCGGAAACGCGGCATTTTCATTCACTATTCGAATATTTGACTTTGATGGACGCTAAGATTTGAGAGAAAATGTTGATGTTGTGCTTCAGATATTCAAGACGGTTAACTATATACATCTTGTCATGTTCTTTTTGCTTGTAAACTATCATAAAATTCTATCACAGCTAGGGGAGAGTTTCTTATTAGAGAAGAAGAGAGAAGAAAAGTGAAAGTCAGAGAGAAATCAGTGGTACTTAGTCTTTTGCTGACTGTTTGTCGTAGGTATAAGATTAAGTTGATGCTCATTTGGTCAGTTTGTGGGGTGGCGGGGTGCGCTCCGTCAACAGGATGTTGCCCCCTACTGCATAGTCTCGTGATTCTTCGTGTCTTTGGACAGATTAGTCGCTCCCTGATCCCCGCTGGCCGCCGACGGGCCGTCCGGAGGAGTGGGAATCTGATGCGCCTGTTGCGGCGATGGGCAAGGGGGCGCGATTGGCGTCTGCGAAGTCGATGCCGCCGCCATCTGCACCTGCTGCTGCTGCAGCGACGACAGCAGGGTTTGGGGATCGATCATCTCCTGCTTAATGGGCTGTCCCATCATCTTGGCGCGCTTCCGTCTGGTCTCCGACTCACAGGGACTTGGAGCGCCCGGATGTCGGTAGGAGACGTGCTTCCGCAAAGCATCCTTGCTGCGCGACACGTGGGAGCAGACGGTGCATGCATATCTGGAAGTATAGACGGAATTAGAATCGTATCGCTTCTGTGATGCTGTGCAAAGATGCCTCTTCCTCCCACTTGGAGCGTTGCGCAATATTTACTCGTGCTCAAGATGTTGCGGAGAATTTGCCTCGTAAACATTTTATGGAGACTGTGTTGGACGTTCCTTTGAATTTCTTCCACTGAATTTTCTCTAAATTATATTCATTCATCTTGTTGGAAAATTCTCCGTGACCGAGCATTTCAGGCGGCTCATTTATTTTCAAAGTATAATTTTAAGCTCAGTTTGAAGACTATTAATACTGACAGGATGTTTTTTTATATGGATATATGTACATATATTTGAGTGCAGTCTTGTCCTAAGAACAATGACATTTTAAAATTGAGGCAACTTCTTGAAAAATGGTGGGGTGTGGCTGATATTAATCACAGCATGAAGAAGAATCAGGACTTCTATTCTTAAAGCAGCAAATTTTGATCAAATTGCAACGTAGCAGTTTCGCTTACCGGACATTCTGATGGGTCTCCAGATGCACCCTTAGGTTGTACTGATTGCTGAGCTGCTTATGGCATATGAAGCATGTGGCGTAGAGTTTGGAGTTTCCGGGCTTGCTGATGGCGCTCGCGATGGACTTCTCCAGCATGGATTCGGCAGTCATGGGGTCGGGAGTCATAGCGGGAGTGGCGGGCTGCGCATGAGAGGGATGTGGCGCTTCCATGAGGGTGTTCTCGGACTTGATTAGAGACGTGCCAGTGTCGTCAGACATGAAGTGATGCTGCAGGGCGGCCGGCAGCGGTGGCGGAGGCTTCAACACAGCCTGAGTGGGCGGTGACTGAGGCACCAGAGCGCCTTTCTGCAGCTGCTGCTGGTCCAGATAGTTCTTGTTGGATGTCCTTAGGTTCTCTGCAATCTTGTCGATCTTCTTCATGTCTGCCTTGTGCTTCCGGTGCTCGTTGTACATCCGTCTGTTGTTGTTCTCCTCATCCAGATGGTCATCGTGGTTTTTTCCATCCTGCGCCAGCAAATTGAACTTTCCGGCCTGACTCTGGTAGCGCGCGAACAAGTCACACGCTCGGTTGGCACTCTGGGAGAAGTTTATGGGCTGCGGAAGGAGATTGGGATAGAATGGGAAGGGTTTGGAGAAGAGTGTCTCCAGGGGTGATGAGACTTTGGCCGAGATCGCCGCCGGCATATCCAAGGTGTCTTTCAGAGCGGACGCTGTTTCTCGCTTTGGCGATGCCTTCGGGGCATTCTGAGGAAAAATAGCCGCGTCATTTTTTGTCGACAGTCGTTAGAATGGAGAAAAGTCTGGTATTTTAAGCTTGTGTGAGCTTTCCACAATCCAAAATGTTTCCTCTCTAGTGACCCAAATCTCGCAGAGTTGGAAATCAGATACTCTCTCTCTCTTGCGATCTTATCTGTGTGGCCAATTAACGTTTTTTCTTCTTTTTCTCCGCGCCAAGAATCTCTATGGGATCTGGCTGGGAGTTTTTCTTTAATGACTTTTGTCTGTTTCTCCCCCGGATGGAACCTTTCATTTGGACAGCGAATGTGTAAATGTGAAATTCGACATGGGCGTTTGAAGTCTCCGCAAGAGACTCCAACAGCCGTATTATCAATTTATTATTTTGTGAATTTTCTCGTACAGCCTTTCCACAAAACTAATTTTGGATTATGACTCTCTCTCCTTCTCTCCGACTTGTGTATGTGTGTTTGTGTGTGAGCGCCAGAGAGAAAATTGTTGGGAAAATAAATACAGTGATGGTCATGAGAATGGCAACACTTTTTTGGAAAACATTTTCACACATTGAACGCACACAATCATATTTTTTTTAAGGAAATAAGCAACTTTTGAAACATTTTCATGCCCATCACGTGTGGTGAGTATATGTATGAAGCATACCCCATTGAAGTCTGCTAATCCCTTGATGCCCAGCGTCTCGGCCAGTGAAAGCAGACTGGAGATCTGCTCCTCGAAGACGTTCACCTCGCCAGAGTACATGAAGGTGAGCAGGGCCACGGTGGCGCCAAAGGAGGCGCCAGGAAGCACCACGACGGGATGGTACGGAGGATCAAGCGTTCGAAATAGCTCTGAGAAGAATGTACTGCACGCACTCAGTACCACACGGTGTGCCCTCACGGTTCTCCCTTCGGCGGATAGTGTCACGTCCGTGAGATGCGACTGATCCAGCAGGAGGGGCAACGAACTCAACAGGCTGGCCTTTGGATTATTTCGGAGACGATCATGTGAGCGCGTCAGGAGGATTTATTTCCCATGCCATTTAATTATAGCGCCCCGAAATACACATACCTGATGATTGTGCCATCTCAGGCAGAATTGCTGGGTGTTGTTGGACGGCTGAGCAGCATCCATTGATGCGATCGATGATCTCTGTCTCTGATCATCGGCGGAGGGGGAGAGAAAAGCATAGAGCATGTGAGTGTCTCCCTGCATCACAGGATCCATGAGATCTCGCCACGCACTCTGTCGCATTTGGCGTGTGCGGGGGGAGGTGAGGGCGTGTGTGATCAGCCGATCGGCAAAGCGGATCAGTGTGATCGCGCAGCGAAAAAAGACACGCAGACAATACAGAGGCGCATGCAAATGTGCATAGTTAATTAGCCGAATGACTGTTTTAAAACTATTCACGATTTTTCAGGACACTTGTTACAAATTCTATTTAAAATAATACGCACGTTGAATCTAATTTTAGACACCCAATAAAATTTCACAGACATGTGAGTGGCTTTGGGAGCAGGACAGTGTATGCGCGCATCGTGAAAATTCTCTTCCATTATAGCCCCGCTGAGTTGAGGCCAGAGTTTTTGGGGAGGAAGGAAAAAATCTTATATAAACTCTCGATTGAGAATGGTTAGGAACACACACTGCACGAGGGTGGGATTGCGGCCAGCGGAAACACGAGGGAGCCGTGATCATTGGCAGATCCCCGCGCGCTGATCACGTGAAAAGCTCCAAAAATTGCAACGTAAATGTTAGTTTGAGCGAGCGTCACACACAAGGCAAAGGGTGTGAGATGAAAAACGATGGCAGAAACTGCAATTAGAATTCCATTTAGTACTTTTAAATAGATTGTCTTTGAGATGTGCGGGATTCTTTCTTTCAAATCGATTTCGCGACCACTTTTCACGAGTGCGATCGATCGATGTGATCTATTGAGTCGTTGATCACTGGCTTCTCCAATTGCACATTGCCACTGCACTCCTGACCGCAAATGGTGATCACTTGAACGACTTGAGCACTGTATTTCCCCTCTCCAGGTGGAGGATTGCACGCACTGAACAGTGAGTCACGGAGAGCAACTGTATGAAATGTTCACGACTCCTCATTCGCACTCCTTGAGAGAGAAATCGAAAAATTGCGACTGGGAATAATGGATCCGCGTCGAGTGAGACGTATTGTGTGAGTCTGAACGGGCCGCCTTGCTGCCGATGCTGCCCAACACAAAAAGTATAATAATAATAGGTGGTCCAGATTTCCGAGCACAACACCACACTATACAACTACAAGCCAGCATCGCGCGAATCCAGGCCGGTTAAACTATTTATAAGTCGGGTCTAGCCTGGAGAACGGTGGCCCAGCAGCCGAAACGGAATTGGCTGGCTGTATCGATGACGATCCGTTTCGCGTATCTTCAACATGCCATACTGCCGCGGAGCTTTTCTCAGTGTCAGTGTGTGCAGAGAAAATTCGGATCTACACCTCTATTTCTGACCTGGAGCTGACGATTTCTGTTATAAATAAACATCCAACATTATACAAACAGATTTGAGAAAGAGAGAACAGGAATGGCGGTGGCCAACAGCCCCACCACGGGTGGAACTATGCGATCTCGCTGTCTCTCTGTCACACTCACATCCAGAACATTTTAAAAGCACAAAAGCTGTTGGGCAAATTATTGTGCACATAGAGACCGATAATGCCTCCTCTCCTGCGATCTCATCTGCGATCATGTCCCTCGCGAACTTTCAATCTCTCACGAGACGCGCAATTGCTCTCATATTGCGAAATGGTCGTCACGACGCCGGCGCCGATTTCTCGCTCTCGTGCGCGCGAGATTAGCGAAAATAGTTCGAGGAGGAGAGACAATGCACACTGTCTCATCATCATCCATCAAACTGCATCTCTATGCAATCGGAGAAGTTCCTTGGACACACATACTCTAGGGAAACTGTCCGCTTTTCCGCATTTTCCTTGTCAGCCAACACTCTATCTGCAGATGACGAGGACGCGAGAGTGGGATTTATGTCGGTGATCGCGACAGAGTTGATGAAGATTGCCACGCTTTGTATAGATTAGATATTGAGGATTTCTACGTTTGTTTTACTTCCTAAAGGTCCTAAAAATGATATAAATTTTTTTAAATTTTGTTCTTATGCTGATTTACTTGAAATGATTTTATAGATAAACAATATAATTTATAAAACCTATTTCAAAACCGTTTGTTAACGAATAAACAACACTCTTTCAGAATTTCGATAGACTGATAAAATATTTGTTCGCAGATCTACAAAGATCAATACTGTTGGCGATCTGAAAACTCTCATTTGTGTGAAGATCACTCTGGCTCCCGATTCTTGACTATGAATTCTTGACTATGGGTTTCGCCTCATATAATCGCATTCACCCATAATCGCCGTCATAACAAATTGTATATCAGTCTATTAAAGATGAGCGAGAGTTGGGGGCGGGGAGAGTTGAGAAAAAATCAACTCTTTGGCAGCCAAAGAGTCATTTATCACGGCAAATTGTTTTCATTCTCATTAATTATGACATTTATTGGTTTCACCGTGAGTGTGAAAGAATAAACTCATTTAGTCCATTGATTGTGCAAAACAATATCTGAGATATATTCACTGTGATCTTCGCCCGCCCATTGATGATTCACCGAATTATCGCGGAGTCGTGAGATAAATTATGACGTGAAGGAGGAATTCTATATAACAAATTGCTGTTTGATATTATGTTAGATGGTGAATTTGTTAGGTGGACGGGGGAGAGATATGAAAAATTTTTGATTTGTCGATTTGACATCGCTTGATCTTCTTCCGCAAAACACACAGAATTCCCCCCGAAGGGCGGGCGGGGGAGAAATATTTGGGTGATTTACATTTTTTGCGTGAGGAGTCCGTGAAATATTGGCGACAAGTGCGCGTGACAAGTGGATAGAGTGTCTCACTGTGGCGTTTGATATAAAAAGATGGGCTTTTGCGTGTGAATGTTGGGGATATTGTGGGGTCTCGGCTCACCTTTGCTTGTTTTGGCGCCTCGTGATCCTCGTGCCTGGCCCCAAATCACAATGGACGTCTCTCCTTGGGCCGCGCCGCGGCACTTGGAGAGCGAGATGGCGCGGCAAATTAAAAATAAATTCTTGGGACTGGCTCAAAAACTCCAGCAATGCCTATATTTAAATGCCTCACAGTTGAGATATATATATACTTTTTATTTTTACTCTTTACATCACACGCGGTATTTTTCTCATGAGCCAGAGTCCCGTGACTCTCAGCTTCCTGGATCCCCAGGAGAGTCTGTCCAGTTCACAATACCAGCTGCACTGCTTCAGGAGACGAAGTAGGAATTGTTGTAGCCCGAAGCTTTCAGCATGTAGGCGAGAATGATGAGCATCTCAATGGTCTGGGCCCTCTTGATCTCCGTCACTCCGTTGGTGACTTCCATTTGGACACCGCAGCGACGCAGTATCTCAAACACTTTGTCTTTGGCATTTACCGTTGAGCCACCAAAAATATCCCGCACGATTGCCAAATTGCTATAGTCGGCAATCAGCCACTCGCCGATCTTCTCCGCCAAGTCATTCGTCACCACGCCACTGAACTCCTGGAGGCTGTCTGCGTTGGGCGACGGGATGCGTCCCTGATTGTACATCTTGTTCATTGCACAGAACAGCCGCAGCGCGGGCTCATCCAGACGGATGGCATTGCTCCGCCGCGTGGCCACCATTGTCCGGAGATTCGAGAGCCAATTCGCCAATCGATCAACAGATCGTCGGCGATTCCAGAACTCAAAGCCTCCACTCGAGCTATTCCCACCCTGAGCGGGGGCGCTCTGCTGTCCTCCCGTCGAACCACTCGCCGTCTGGTTGATGTTGTTGTAGTACAGCTGCAGTCCTGTGTTGACAATGGAGCGCATGCAGAACTGATGGAGAGTCCCATTGCCATTGAGTTCAGTTACGCCACCGCGTCGCACCTCCTGCCTGGGCACAATTGCGATTTGTCGATCAGTTCGGTTTCTAATCGACAGATTGCTCATCTGCTGATTAATGTGCGCCGAGCTGGGATTCCTATTCCTCCCTATGCTGTCTGTCATATTCCTGATCAATCCCTGAAATTGCCCCAGTTCGTCTGGCGTAAGCCGCCTGGCATCTCTACCTAGACGCTGTACAGAGATGTTCGGCGGCTTCAGCAGACTACTCGTAGTGCTATTCATCACCTTATCCAGAAGTCCCGTGAACGCTTTACTAGACAGCGTGGGATCTGGCTGATTGATTTTCATCTGTACATCCTCCACGCACACATTATTCTCCGGCACCACCTGATCCACCTGCAGCACTTGCTGTCGCTTCCCACTCATGATGCCCTCGAGTTTATCCCGAATCTCCGAGGCCGTGAGACGCTCCTCTGGATTCAAGTGCAGCATGTTTTTGATCAGATACTGTGTCTCCTCCGACACCTTCGTGTTCTTCGGGATTTTGTAGTCTGCTGACTTGATACGCTTGAACAGCGCCGCTGGCGTGGTCTCGAAGAACGGAAATTGACTGTACAACATCGTGAAGAGCACAACTCCCAGCGCCCAGATGTCTGAAGGCTTTCCCTTGTACGGTGTCTGACTCGATGCTCCCAAAACGTCCGGCGAAATGTACGCCGGAGAGCCTCGTTGATCCCTCAGGTAGTCATTCTCGTTGAGCAGATGCTTGCCTAAGCAGAAATTCGTCACGATGACCTTTTGCGTGAGTGTGTTGTACACAATATTGCCCAGCTTCAGGTCACGATGCACAATATTCTTCCGATGGAGATTCTCCACAATCTTGATGATCTCGTAAAAGATGAGGAGCGTGCGGTTCTCCGACAGTGTTTTCTCCCTGATAAGATATTGCTGCAAGTTGATAAATACTGAAGTCTTATCGCAGAACTCGTGCGCAGTGACACAGTCGACTACGAGAATTATCCGCCTCTTCAGTTTACCAGTGTAAACGTATTCGGACACCTTTCCCGGCACTGGTTCCTCCTCAAATGCAATGTCCTGGAAGGGATAAAAAAGGAGATTTCAGAATTATGCAATCTTCTCTTAGTTTTTTGCTATGAGGAGAGAGTTTCGAGGAAACAGATCACACCACGCTTTCTTGATTGATAGGTTCATCTTGTTTGTTTTCATAAATAAACACAAAATACTTTATAGCGACAAAGACATTGATGTGAATATGAAGAGAGGCTTAATGTTTGTGTAAGATTTTCAAGAATTTATCTACTCTTGTAAAACACTAGTAGAATTACGTCAACTTGTGTGCTTCTCTTGACCACCCAGAGAAAGACAGATCATTTTCATAGCTTTTAACATTATGAAATAATGAGTTCAACTTAACAAAACATTTTAGTTGAAATTGTTAAATATGATGTAACATCGTCAAAGTAGATATAATCCTCTGCATATTTTTCGAATTCCCTGAAAGTTTTCTGATCTGCAGAGAATTCTGCTTAGCTGTTAAACACCTTTTCTGCCTTTGTCATGAAAAAGGCAATGAGAATGCCTGAAATTCCGTTGAAAGCAAAAACTTTCTCAACATTTTTCTTCGCTCTAATTTGCCTCAGATGATGCAATGCAGTGACTCTGTTCGCGTCTCTGGCCAATTGACCTCTGAACTTCTATATCAATGCCAAAAGTGACATTGAGGTGGTAAATTTGGGCGGGAATATGCTTTCGTGAATGCAAGTATTGCAAGGATTCTTACACTGAAGAGCTCATGGGAGCGAATAATGCCCTCCTCGTTCTGCAGCATGGTCAGGAGTTGGTATTCCGAGTGCAGGAGTAATTTTCCCTGCTTTTCGTCCTCTTGTGACTTCACGCATCCCGGTTGGGCGTTGAGGACGAGGATCTGCAAAGGAAGAAGACAGGTTATAAGACAGGGTGTTTCGCGGAGTCCGGAAGTATTTGCCAGGTCACCTTGAGTTGATAGTAGTCTCCAGTGTTCTCCTTCCTGGCCAGGTACTGTGCGATGCTCTCCACTGGACCGTTGCCCAGCTTCGGGCCCAGAATGTACGGACCTGCCCGTTTCATGATCTTCCGGTTGACAGGAGTGCCACTCCTGGGAATACTCTTCAGGCACACCTTGCTGGCCAACTCCGAATCCTCCACGCCCTCACTGGCGTCCAGGCTGGGCACCACCTGGGTGTCATATCTTGGGCGTTTCGCCTGAACGAGCAAATTCGTGGTGGAATTTCTTTTGGTGCGCACTTGACTTCCTCGATTTGTTGACATCTTTTCACTTCTCACTGGCTTCGCTGCTGCCCGTTTCTGCTGATTCAGCCCCTGACTACGTGTCCCACAGCACCTACTTCTCCTGCCCCACACACTCACAGTCTCGCGGATTGTTCACTACGGAGTGGACAAATTGATTCCATTGATTGCAAAGACTTCCTCCTAGCACTTCATCACGTATGCATGATGCAATTGAGACGACAAATTTTCATGCGATTTTGCCACTTTCTGCCACGACAACTCACTGTCTAGTGCGATAGATTCGTGGCCAGGGCTTTCGCGAAGGCGCACACGGAGGGTGATTCGGATGCGATAAGGAATTTGGGCTAAATTAACTGAATTTCCAACCACGGATTGACTGATGTTACTCAATTTGTGGCAGACAGAGACAGACTACTCGAGCAGTGGCGGAACTGTCAAGCTGAAAAGTCGTGGTGTCGCGTAGAATATTTATTTACACATATTATACATGGCGTATACAATGTATTCGATTCTCATAGGGGCGACGGTAGGAGTCAACAATACCCAAATTTTTATTTTATGAATTCAAATGCCATCACAATATAGTTTTCTTTATCATTCAAAATTATCTTAAACAAATTCTATTTTGTTGTATTTTATTACTACACATTCATTGCTGACACGGAGAAAAGACAAAAAAAAACTTTCAATTGTTTGTGTGAGAAATTTCAACGGCAACTGTTAAAGAGTTTTGATGTAATTGTACTAAGAAAATTTCTGCAATATCTTTATCCGTCGTTTGTGTTTTCATTGATTCCAAGAATTCTTATGGGAAACAGTTTTTTTTATTGAATTACATATGGTTGTTTATACTAAATGTTTTTACATTGCATTGATAAAATTGCACGAGAAATAATGAGAACTCAAATTCTGTATAAAGCGAGCTATGAGGAATTTCTGTTATCTACCATGATGTCGTAGAAATTTCACATTTATTATATAATTATAATAACGAAAGTCACTTCAAAATTAATGCCTTGTAATCCATTTACACGCAGAGACCCACCTCTAGCAAATGGTGGGCCCTTTCATGTAAATCTTCTCAATAGACACACGTATTATCTTGCGGTTGGGTTCATCCTCTGCGTTTGATTGAGGGTCAAAGGACAGTCTGTGCAATGATGCATTATAGTGCAATGTGTGCTCGTCACCGCAAAATTATGATGTTTCATTAACAATATGCAAGAGCATCAATATGCCTTTCTCTATTGAAGAATCAAATTGACCACCCTCAAATCGTAGTGTGTCCTGGAAAGGACATCTTGGCCACACTAAACTGATATTTGCACATGCTTTTATTATTTCCACACGTCCATTTAAAGGGTGTAATACACTAAATCGATTGATTTCTTGTTGTGGAGAATATGTGATGAATCGGGGTTGAGGATTAATGAACTGTTCGAGTAGAATTCAAAATAAACAGCAATGTCGCCTTGGGGTGAAAAATTGGTTGCGCGTGCAAATATAAACGTGAACTGATAAGATTTACATCATCTTCTCCCATAGATTTCTTACAATCTCTGAGTGAAATGAGAGAAATTGAAAAAGAATTTCATCATGCTATGAGTGGGATGAATGAATTGATTGAATTCGACCTTCTTGTGCCCTTTGGTAAGATTCGAGAAATGGGATTTTAATTGAATAAACTGACTGGCATTTAATTATTATTGGGAACAATAAACACCTGCGAGCACATCTCGAGGCATACTCATTCTCATCCTTGTTTTCATCAATGGATGAGAATTATCTCCAGAAATGATTGAAAATATCTATGTATATGAAATATAGTTATATCATGAAATTCACGGGGAGACATCATGGAATAGTTATAATTTACACGAATTTGTCTTATCAGCAAGTGTGATTTCCAATTCAAAAAATATTCAGATTAATTTTATGCCGACGTGTTTGGATTTACGTGCTTATAAATAGTGAATTCGGGAGTCATCTCATCATAAGTTCTGTGGATTCTTCCATTAGTGAAGCTCAGGCAATAGTGAACAAGCAATAATCATGCAGGCTGCTGTGGTCTTCCTCGCCCTTTTCGGCACCCTCGTCAGTGCTGAATACTTCAACAACTTCCCCACTTCTGGAGCCGCTGGCTACAATGCCTACCCCAACCAGCTCCAGTGCACCAAGGAGTACGAGTACTTCGAGAAGTGCGCCAGCCCTTGCGAGGAGACCTGCTACAACACCCAGTTCTACTACGACCTGAAGGTAAATTTGCGACTTCTCTTAGAGACGTTCTTTCCTACATCATTCTTTTCTATCAATTTTACCAGAACAAGGACGACTGCAGCCTCCGCAACTGCGTGCCCAGGTGCAAGTGCGTGAGCGGATACGTTCGCAACAACCAGGAGAAGTGCGTGCCCAAGAGCCAGTGCTCCGGATCCGTTGACTTCCACCACGCCCGTGGCAACCGTCAGCCCTACTTCTACCCTCAGCAGCAGTACGAGTCTCAGTTCGAGAACTTCCAGTACGGAAACCAGTACGATGCTGGTAACTACTACAACGACTACAACAAATACTAAGACGATTCTTTCAATAGGTCTTGTAAGCTTGATTGTTATTCCTTAATGCTTCATAGATCTGCAATGAATTGAAACGTTAAAAAGTGTGAATAAATTTAGAAAAATGAATTTTTTACTTGTTTCAACTGTATGGGTCAAGTCTTCTCAAGCCACAGGGCAAAAAATAGTTTAGATTGATTAGGTTCAATTGGAAAATGTTACGAATTTGAACGCATTGAACTTCGATTTGTTGAGAAAATATATATATTGTGACACGTGGAGCAAGTTGTAAATATTTTTGTGCTGTTGGTCATTCCCCTGCCGTTTGAGAGAAATTCATTCTGTCACGTCGCATGTTGCATTTTTCAAATACTTATTTTTACATTTTCTTGGGTCCTCCTTCAATTTAATGCTATATTTTTCTGTTAATGGCAAACCCAAATATTCTTTTCAAGCTTACGCAATTTCAGACATCTGTTAATGTGAGAGTTGAAATATAGAGCAAGGTTCTGACAATGTTTTTCTGAATAAATATTTATTGATTCGCAAAACAATGAGTGTCTTAAATTAACAAGACAAATACTTCCGAACAATAAATTGCTCCTCTTATCAATATTGTCTTAAGCGAATTTTCAAGATTCTTTCTTAGTTGTTATCGCACTCTGAGGGTTCTACACATTTAGTTTTATCTTCGTTCCAGATGTATCCTTCGAAACAAATGCAGTTATTTTCCTCACAATTGTCCTCTTCGGCCTCTTTTTCCTCATTGGTCACAACTTGATTCTACACAAAAGAGAAAAAATTAGCAAAAAATTTGAGTATGAGTTGCATCACTTACTTCTTCCTGGTTATCTCCACAATATCTCTGGTTCTTCGGGGCGCAATCCACTGGGCGAGAATTTTGGGGACATCCTGCTGGTGAAAACATGTTTTCGTTTCTCTGCGTGGTGACCACGCAGAAAGTCACGAAAAGAGCGGTCCAAATTAGCAGACTTTTAGCGTTCATGCTTGAAAAAGAGACTAATGTGGTGGCACAAAATTCTCCAGCTTTTATATGTTCAAGATGAGTGAGAAGCGGAACGGAGAGGCAGTTGAAAGTGAAATTGTGCCCATTGTTTTCGTGTAGTCTTGTTAATGCAAATATTTGATAAGTGTCTTACATGATTGACAAAAGCATGCAAAGGTTGTATTTTATTGTTCTTCAATTAAAGGTGGTTTTTATCAGCTCTTCATGGTTCTTTACTTTTTCAGTGGATGAAAAATATCAATTTCGCAAACCCGATGTAAACTTATCAAATTCTAATCAAACTTGTTTTGAATGCAGCCAGAAAGTAGACAAATGGTTGCAATATACAATAGGTAATTTATTGTGTGTAGATAAATATCGGTATAATATATAGGGTAAAATTAATCAGATTCTTTTTTTAGGAAAAAAACTAAAATGATTATTTGTAGATTTAATTTGATAATTTTTCGTATAAAATAACAAACAAATATAATTTTTATTCTTGTTTTCCTTCTCTTTAAAACGGCATTGAATTTATTTCTTTACTTTACCCGTTTCTAGAGTATGTCAAGGAGTATGCGTTGAATATGTAATTTACTGCGTAAAATAATGGGAATTTAAGACGGGTTGAAAACAACCACTGGACGCCTCTGGAAGTGATGCACATTCGCTCTGTTTGACAACACGGTTTTTCTGAACTTCTTTTTCCACGCAATTATTGCAGTTTTGTGAGTGAAATCACTTTTATTCGGTAGATCAAAGAGTTATTTACCGAGTGGTGATTGGGGTGTTTGTGCGAGATAGTGGGATAAGGGTGAAAAATCGCTCGAAAGTGTGACGTGCGGGAGTGAGGTTAGGATTTGCGCGGTCGGCATAATGGTTCCAATGGGGCCTCTGGGGGGCTCCGGGCCACACAATCCACATTCCGTGCACGGTGTTCCGCCGCCAATACAGAGTACACCATCGGGACCCAACACTCTGTCAACGAATAGCCAGTCAAACAAAGCATCCTCGACATCCGTGGTGAGACTCTCTGTTTTTGTGATCCATTTGGGAAGTTTCTCATGTTTTTCCGCATTCGTGTCTTTCAGAAGCCAAACTACACACTCAAATTCACTCTTGCTGGGCACACAAAAGCTGTTTCCGCTGTAAAATTCAGCCCAAATGGCGAATGGCTGGCTAGTTCATGTGAGTTGACGGCCGACTCCCGGACCGACATAACCTCACTTCGTGTGTTTGTTTTACAGCTGCGGACAAATTGATCAAGATTTGGGGCGCTTATGATGGCAAGTTCGAGAAGACGATCGCCGGACACAAGCTGGGCATCAGCGATGTGGCGTGGTCGAGTGACAGTCGTCTTTTGGTCAGCGCCAGTGATGACAAGACGCTGAAGATTTGGGAATTGAGCTCCGGCAAGTGCCTGAAGACGCTCAAAGGTCACACGAACTATGTCTTCTGCTGTAACTTCAATCCGCAGAGCAATCTCATTGTGTCCGGCAGCTTCGATGAGTCCGTGCGAATCTGGGATGTACGAACGGGGAAGTGCTTGAAGACGCTTCCCGCCCACTCGGATCCCGTCTCTGCAGTGCACTTCAATCGGGATGGATCGCTGATTGTCTCCTCCAGCTATGACGGTCTCTGTCGCATCTGGGACACAGCCAGTGGACAATGTCTGAAGACGCTCATCGATGACGACAATCCGCCAGTGTCCTTTGTCAAGTTCTCACCAAACGGAAAGTACATCCTGGCCGCCACGCTGGACAACACCCTCAAGCTTTGGGACTACTCCAAGGGCAAATGCCTGAAGACCTACACGGGCCACAAGAACGAGAAATACTGCGTGTTTGCCAACTTCTCAGTCACCGGCGGAAAGGTGAGTCTTGCGCCTAATGCTTATTTTCTTTTGACAAACTGTTTGTGTTTTAGTGGATTGTGTCCGGGAGTGAAGACAATATGGTTTACATTTGGAACCTGCAGAGCAAAGAAGTGGTGCAGCGTCTTCAGGGACACACTGACACAGTTCTTTGCACCGCCTGCCACCCAACTGAGAACATTATCGCTTCCGCGGCCCTTGAGAATGACAAAACCATCAAACTCTGGAAGAGCGATACTTAAAATCTTCGCGAAAATACATGAAATTCTCTCTCACGACACTTTATTCTTATAGAGAGCCTCTTTTGGGAACCCTGACTTCAGGGCTTCCTGAGGCAGCATGCTTTTGTGGAAATTCGCCATTATTTTAAATACACTTCCTTTAAGAGATTGTGGATATTTTATTTATCTCCATGCAAAATTGTCCCTTAAAAATATTCTGTTTTGCAGATACAGAGTGAAACTTGAATGTTTCTTTGCATTCCTTTTGGAAAAGAGAATGAATGTGAACACTTATCAAATTGTATTTTCAAAATTGCAGTGTTCCTAGAAAACTAAGAAAAATAAATTAAATTATTGCAACTATTATTAAATCACTTCAAGTATAAATCTATAAGCCACAAAATCTCAAATTAATAATAAAGATAAATATTTTTATAGTAATGTGGTGAGTTTGGAATCTAATGTTCATCCAGTAAAAGCTGAAGATATGTATATAAACGAAGGAGATTTTTTGATTTTGTTTTTCTCGTGAAGGAGTGAAAAATCGAATGGATCTCGTAAGAATCTGCAGTGAAGTCTATTGCAAACTCTTTCTAATAACACTGAAGCACATTTAGGAAAAGGGTTGACAAACCTTGTTATATATTTCAGTTTAATCGACAGCGCAAAGGTTCAATAATAGCCAAAGTTCTTAAGTAAATATTACTTCATATGTTTTTCAAACTCCTTTGAACTTATTTCGCCACTGGTCTTCTCTGAAACTTGGAGAAAATCACTCAAGTGGGAAGATTCCTGAGAATGATTCCCATTATTCTCGTCCTCCGCAGCTCTGTTTTTTTTTCTTTCACGTCTCTCAAAATGTTCTTTGGAGTATCAAAATGCTTAATAGAGTTCTCATGCTTTGCCAAGCGGGCGTGTGAGAGTGGGTCGATTCCAAGGGAGCTCAAAATGGGCAGAGTCGTCCTGCATTTAAGTGAAAATAGCATAAAAACATTTCCACTGTTAAGCTTTACTGCTTCAATAACCCACCCGCTAGATCGTGGAGTTCTTTTCTCCAGCGCCCAACTCCTGGCTTTTGCGAGAGAGCACAAAGGACCGTTGAGCGTATCATTTATAAACATTTCCCTCCGCAATGGGATGAAATTTAGAGAACCACCTCAACTCCTCGGTTTCCTCTATCACACGAATCCTGATGGGCTAAATGCTTGGGGTGGTGGAAGTGCAATGGCTTAATATTCCAGGGAGCGAGAGAGAAGAGAAAGAAAATGTGAGACTTTCATAGACCACAAAATGCATCATTTTTCCGAATCACTAACCATCTTCTATGGTTCGCTTGTGGATTGTGATTTGATAACATTCCCTGGGCTATTTTTCGTCATATCGTCTCTTGATGGGCAGAGTATTATCATATCAAATGTCTTGGGCATTCAAGTGAATAATTTCTCCCCTTTGCAGTTGCACTGCAAGGGGAAGATGTTCATTATGGGAAATATCATTATGGGGTAATAAATTTGCATGAATATTTTGGAACATTCTATCGCGATGCTTGAGTAATTTTACAACATGTCAAGTCAGAAAGGAACTTGTGCACCTCCAAGCTCAAATCCTTTTTCCACCCAAAAGGATGATAACAGGCAATTATCCGCATTTAAGATTGCGATTTCCCTTTGTTCTACTCACCTATTCTCCGTCGAAAGCACCTCCATGCCTCGGAGACTCTCGTGAGACGATAAAAACGCGATATTCCTAATGGTGTGTGACAATAAATGGCTCCTGGGTGAATTCTGTCTCGTGCAGATGCGGAGGTGAAGTTTCAGCATCACGCAAAAATGTCCAACATGTATTCGCACAAGTATGAGCGCTTCTTTTTTGCCCGAAGACATCGAAAAACCCTCGTGATCGCTGGAGTGTGAAGAGAAACAGCGAATCATTCCCTCAATTTCCCTTCTGGGCTCCCAGAAACAATCTCTCTTCAGCTACAGACGCACGTCCGTGAGACAATAATGCTGGCACGAGGAGAAGGCAAACAAGCAATTTGAGATAATCAAATATAACATTTTATTCCTGCGGAAAACATCATGTCTGCACAAGTTGATAAGTGCGACTTTCAACCAAAGAGGAAACCTTCACCGCAATCCAGCTCGTAATCATCAAGATTGGGAATGGGTTCAGCTTGTTGGAAGCTCTGCTTCACAATGTCCAGTTCCTTCCTGAAGAAGTCCACAATTAGCCCAAAAAGTGTTCGGGATTTACCTTGAGTGGCAGAAGAATGATCTTCGCTGTCAATTTGGATGGAAATGTACTCTTTCGCCATGTTCGTCCGTTCGCTGTGAAATCCAAGTGCCTTCTGACCTTGCTTCTGACTCTTGTCAACCACTATCTTTACCTGGACGCATTTAGAAAGGTCATAGCAGATTATAAAGTGACCCGACTGGATTGAGATTGGTTTTTACAGTGACGATAGTGTACATCTCTTGTACGTTGTTTGAAGTTTTGAAGGAAAATTTTGATAATTTAATTTAAGATTCAATTAAATAGATCAAAAATAGGTTTTTATTTCTCAAAACAGACTGCAGAATGTAATTATCTTAAATTGAATGCACTAAACTATATCTATAATCCAGAATCCAAGTTTATCCTTCTGAAATGCACAATTAAAGTGTTGACTAATGAAGTCTGATGCATTCAAATGACCTCTGTCGGCCGAATCCCACTAATGTCACCGCATCGTAACTTGAAATACAGAATCCCCCATTCACCTCAATTAACTCTTGTAATTATGTTGTGCTTTCGAGCTTTTAATTGCTAATTAACTATGTATCAGTCATAATGATTTGCAAAGCTACTTCAGTTGCCTCAATATGCTTTGATTCTCAGTTACTGTTTCACAAAGATGACCTGCTGAAGGCTCAAAGTGGTCAAATGGATGTTCTTCTGAAATCCTCCAGGATGGAATCAAGTGGCGAAATCACCTCAATCGCATGGGTGAAGAGTAATTTATGGGTTTCAGCGAATTTGGATGTGACGGCAGGTGGCTCAATCGAGATAATGCAACTTGACTCCCTCCTGGGGAGTTCCTCATCAACTCTGCACTGAGGGAATGTGAGTTATGTGGCCTCGAGGTTCGCATTCGCGAAATGAATTGAATTAATTCGCAAGCAGTTGGAATTCGTGTGGGGTGGAGAGTGAGAGGGAGAGAGAGAGGGGTGGCGTGGCGCTTTTTTGTCAGCCACCATTGGAGACTAATTGATTCTATGAATTGACGCTGGGTACACAAGTTCATCCACTTGATGGTGCAGTGGTGAAAGGGCGCGCACCCTTTGGGTGTCGACTTCTCTGGTAAATTCCCCAAAAACGCATGCAAAACCCCTTTGTTGGCCGCCTGACAATCCGAACTGACAAAGTGTCGATACAGAGAGATACACAGACTTGATGAATGTTCGTTTGCGCCAAACCAAAGTGCGGTGGGCCACCCACACCGCCACCCTATTCGTCCACACAATTCAATACACATTGTTGCGTCCGAATGAATGTAATACAGCATGTTCAAAATTGAACAATGCTAATGTATTGGAAATCACTCACCTTAAAGGGGGGTTTCGGGATGAGATTAAAGCCTGAGCAAAATAGCATATTAATATTAAAGCCATTCGCCACGAATGCACTCGGTCGGTAATAAATTTAAATGGGAAATTTGCACCACTTGAGGCCGAGTGGCCATCCTTCAATCTCGCCAACATTATCACCATGTGCAAAATCGACACATATAATTCAACTTCCAATTACAATCATCCGGCAAATTTTAATTACATTCATATTTTTCGGTGAAAATTGGAAAATGAGATTTCCATTGGGTCCCTTTTTTGCTCTGGTCATGATTGTCTGGCTAATAAATGCACATCGTATCATTAATATTGAAACATTGTGACAGAAAAATGGGAGGCAATTTTTTTTTTTAGCAAATTGCGATGTTGGCTGCCAGTCAATACAATGTAAAGAGTCTCTTTTTTCCAGAGACAATGTTGATATGCCGTTTATTCAATTATTCTCCAGTTTATTGTTCCGAAACACGAGAGAAAACATTCCTGTGATAGCATAGACGGTGTCATATTTTCTGGGACAGACAAAACATTAATTAAAAAAATTATTGAATTTAATTAGAGGAATAATTTGAATGTGAGATGTTTATGAAGTTTCACGATATTGAGGTTTATGCAAATGATTGTTCTCTGATAGTTTATAAAGTTCACAGAAATCCGATGTAAAGTGTGCGTTTTCCGTTCGGGATAAATTGAAAGGAGGAGTTTTTCCACAAACACAACATTTCATATTTGTGTGGAAAAGACAGATTTTTCTGCACTTTTGTGCTGCAACATTGTATATTTCCATGACGGGATGAGTTTTACACAATTTTTCCCGGAGAATCAAATGGAAAATCATGGATGTTGCTGGCAAAGATGCGCAAAGCGGAAAGTTCATGTGAACGTGCCAGAAGGATGAAATCGCTTGGAAAAACGGTAGATTTTTTTAATTAAAAAATATTGTAATGACACTTTCCCGGGTGGGGGGAAAAAGTGTAGCACATCAACCGCGGAAGCAACAGTTTTGCCGTGCAACATTTTGCTCGAGAGTGAGTGAAAATAATGCTGGGGAAAAGCATGACCGGTGAATAGAATTGGGAAAAGTGGAGAACTTTTTTTTGTGTGAAATAACATTAACTGGAAAAGTGAACTGTGTTTCCCTGGAACAGTGGCGCGTCTGTAAACACGAGATGGCGAGATAATCAAAATTGAAATCAAGAGCTTTCACATGCTCAAAGAGTCAATCAATTGAACATCAATTACCACTCAGAACACATTTAGCGCTTTTTCACGTCACTCAATCAGCAATGAATGGAGTTTTTGCCGTTGCAGTCTGTTGACTTTGAGCTTCATCGTGGCGTGAATTAGGTAAAAAAGGTGCCGAAATGTGGGGTTGAAAGTCTCATGGAAACCATCTGTTTTCCCGCCCATTTCCCTGCAAGCGCAATTTCCTTGTCCGTCTGACCATCTCTT